TGGGAGAGGAGTTGCCTCTAGAGATTAACATAGAGCGACTAACATAGCGAGAGAGGGGGAGAGGCAGAGAGGAGCAGCGCGCTATTTAATTTAACTACAATCAATAAGTAACTATGAGCATTAAGTAACTATGAGCATTAAGTAACTCTGATCAGTAAGTATCTATGACCAGTAAGTAACTCTGATCAGTAAGTATCTATGACCAGTAAGTATGTATTATCAGTTACTAACTTTGAACACTAATACACAATGACTTGCAACTTTTGTAACACAACATATTTCTGATACTTGGCTGGCAGCAGGCACATGCATGTCGAATCGGTGGACTATATATATACATATATATAGCTGCCATAGGAACGATCGGACGATTCATAGAACTATGATCAGTAATTAACTAAGACCAGTAATTAACTAAGATCAGTAAGTTTCAATGAACATTAAGTTACTCTGAACAGTATCAATGACTTTTCCAGTTTTCTACAGATTTTCATCAAATTTGATATATATCCATTATATATTAATCTAGAATTTTGTGTAAAAGATTATGAAAATCGGAGTGTTGCTGCCATACAAACGATCGTTTAAAATAGAGGAAAATGCAAAATAAGTTAAATAAATATACGTTTATTGATCAATTTTTATAAATACCTATACTACCTAAAAGTTACCAAATCAAATTCGTTTTCTTTTAAGAAATATATATATGTATAATTTCTACATAATTAAGTTGCTAAACTCGACCCAATTTGATAAGCAACAAAACAATAGATTTTTGTTAAGAAGAGCTGCCGCTTGTTCTATTTTTAGAACACAGGCTTTCTTTGAGTTAGGGTAGATAGAAAGAGTTGTGTGTGTTAAAAAGGGGTGCAAATTCTCCGATATTCCAAGTGGCGTCGGTGGTGTAATGGTCAGCATAGTTGCCTTCCAAGCAGTTGATCCGGGTTCGATTCCCGGCCGACGCACAAGTAAAATTTTTGTTTTATTTTTTATTTTTCTCTTTTGTTTATTTTTTCTAAATAATATTATTTATTTTTTTATAATTTCTGTTTTTTTTTTAATAAGTTCATAACTAATTAAGCAATCATAGGCAAACTTTGAATTTTCTTTCCTTTTACTTGTTTTCTTTCACAGAAACAGAAAATGTTATAAAAAATAAATAAAATTTTTTGGCAAAATTAAATAAATAAATCAACTATTTACAATCAAGTTTAACATCTGTTGTAACTTAAAGACCATCAATTAAATTTTAATTACTCATGATTTACGTTTCCCCACCGAAAACTTGTTGACAATCAAATGTTTGCATTGAAAATTTCATTATGCCAGAGAAAAGCCCTCAAGATGTAAATATTTAAGCCTCTAATTTGGTTTTCGCATTCAAAATGAACTTGTGTAAACTCCAGGATCCAAGGTCAACGAACGAAGGGACATGAATATAACTAACTAGCCAGGACAGGCCGTAATTAGTAATCCGTTTGCGTAAGGCAAAGCGTTTTGTTTGCACTAAATTCGCCATAACAGATTTCGAAGAGAGCACTAAACACAGTCAGAAAAAATAGAGAATTATTTTATTTTATTATTTATATTTTTAATTATTTATATTTTTAACAATTTTATATTATTTTATTCATTCAAATAAGGAGCCAAACTGCCTTTATATCATCATCATTATCTTTACTTTAATCTCTTACTCTCTCTTTATAGCTCTTTAACTTTTAAACAGCTTCCTAAATATTTGTGAAAAACCTCTTTAATAATAATTAATAATCATTAAATTTTACAATAAAATTTCCCTTGCATTCTGACTCCTTTTTATTCCTGTTTCCTGGCACTTCATTTGCTATTCATTTCTGCAGTCGTCCCTGTTCTTGACTTATGCGTATTACTGCAAATATCAATTAATGCCAGAAACGTGCGTGAAATATCCAAGTCCAGGCACACTGACCTTGGGATTATAATCAAGACCCATGTGGAGTTTGAGATCGAGTTCAAGTTAGTTTATAGTGGTGGTGGTGTGGCAGATAAGGACTCGCAGACGGCTAACATAATTGATTTGCAGCTCCGATTTATGTGTCTGCCGTCGACGCTCTGATGGGGCGGGGTGAAAGGGTCAAAGTCACGCACTTAATCGGAAATTTCAACTTGCCCCTTGGATTGCCCAACCATCTGCGATTGTGGATTCTGGGGTATGCAAAGTGTGCGTTTGAGGCCCTCTTTACTTGAACAGCAGCAAAGTGTGCAGCACCCTAAGTTCGCTTTAGCTAACCACCATTTGTTACTTAATGAATGATTAGGTTCTTATCTTTAAATATTTAATTTATTTAAATAAAACTAATAAGAACAACAAATACCATAGGCCTTACGTATAAAATATACTAAGAGAATTCTTTGAATGCCTTCCCTGTTTTCATCTTGTAATTGTGTATTTTGAAACACTTGCTTATATTTAAGTTCTACTAAATCACGAAACAAAAAACAAACGAAATTGTTTATAGTTTTTCTCATTTTATTTGTTGCATCTTGGCATTGGAATATCCAAGGACAGCCTGATCGGTCAGCACTATATATTCCCATGGTAAGGAAAACGATAGTGAAAAGGCCAGCGGTCAAGTTCATGGTTTAAGATCAAATCTACAACTAAGACTTTGAGGTATCACTTTCACAGGAAAGATCTGTAATAACATTAAAACGAATGCATTTTCCTCAGTCTATTAAATTAAGAAATGAAAACAAAACAATTACCTTATCGAATTCCTCTTAACTAAGGTGATATCGAAAAGTTTTTGGAATTGATTCGAAATATTTCTGGAATTTATTAGTTCCTCCTTAATATATACCATTTTTCAAGCAAAAGATTCTATGTTCTATGGAAATGTAAGCATTTCCTTAACAAATGTATTTATTTTTCGAATATACATTAAAATAGTTTGAAAACAAAAATACTAAGTAATGGAAATAATCATTTTCGTGGATTCGTGGATTGTTTAAGTAAATCAAATCAATTCAGATTTTTTGTTCTATTTATATTTCTTCATTTACAAGGCCAAGAGTATGCATTTATTATTATTTTTTGTTTAATATATATATTTTCTTAAGGGTTTCAGTTGTAGATTTCATCTTAGATCATGAACTTGATCGCTTACCTTTTCACAATAATTCTCCTCTCCACGGGGATATTCGCTAAAGAAATAAAAAATGGTTCGAGAATGTGTAATCCTCCTTTTGAATGGGAACCTGGCCCACAATGGTGTAAGAGAGTTCGTCCACAGAGTAATGATATTATATTTCCCCATAAGTGAATGTGTATTTAAATGGTACTCCCTATGGCAGAACCAATAAAATCACCAACGCATTTTAAACTATTTATTTATTTGTATTTATTTTTGGTTTGAGTAGAACTCATTTATGCGTATGTGCCAAAATTACAATTACAAATGGAACCTACCCACCGATCGCCGCTTGTGACCCCTCTTTAACCCCATTTAACCCCTGGCTGATGGTGGACAAAGACAAATATTGGGCCGCAATCACTCAGCTGTGAAGATGCCGCAGAGCAAACACAAATGGGAAAACACTGACCACACCGACACACAGAGTGGGTACCAAAAGAAATACAACAGTCATCATAATACACAGACACAGCCATGGACAGGGACAGACAGTGAGGGGCATAAATATGCGAATGCCAAATAAACAAAATGCGCTGCGAGCCAAATGAAATGCCAATTGAAATGCCAAAAACGTAGAGAAAAACGGCGCAGCAGCAGAGAACACAACCAAATATTGCTTTTAAAATGGTTGCGAATAAAAAATGAAGAAAAAAGGTTGAAATAAAGAAAATAAACTGGGTATTTGATAAACTATGGCAAGAGATTACAATATTTCTTTTTAAATGATTTATAATATATTAAGGGGATTTCTAAGGCTTTATAAAAATAAACATAGTTTATTGCATCGAAAAAATGTAGTTAAATTGATTTAGTTATTTTTTAATAAAGTCAATGGGAAATATTTATGGAATCTTAGGCTCAATCGCTTTGAGCTCCTAATCGATTTGACTAATAAATACAACCAATTACCGACCAGTATCTCCCTCCTCCAGATCAATCGCTGTCATTTCATTCTATTTCCACATCCATTTAGCATCTGCTTCAATCAACCGCCTGGCCTGGCTCTCTCGGCATTAATGTCTCTGTTAAATTGCCGGCTAAAACTCAACGAGCTGTGGAGTTTAATTAAAAAGAGAGAGAACGCCAAGGATACCGCCTTCCAGCTCTCATATCAATTACGCAGGCGATTAAGCCAAACAAACTGCCAACTGATTGGCGATGCATGCCAAAGCCACAACCAAAGGTCTGGAAGGAGTCTTGAGATATGCACGGTGAAAAATATATATATTTAATTACCGCATAACATCTCTTCAGCTTGGTTATGAAATATATTTAATTAAAATTGCAATTATCAATTAAATACCCTTTTAAATAAATAACTAATTATACATTCTGTTTTATTACACAAACAGTTAATATGTATCAAGTCTTAGTGCCTAGTTTATATTTCCCTATATATTTTTATTTACTTTTTATTTATTCCTAAGTAAATCTTGGCTCTGTGCATGCACAGCGTCTGGATTTTGGTCCCGTGGAAATCGTGTCTTCGTTAGAAAATGGCTAGAACCCAAAGCGACGGGGTCTAGACCGCGTTACGCACACGAATTGTCAACTGGTTAAAGAAAACTGGTTAAGAAAATTGCTACCTTGATTGCATGTGAACGCCGGCAACACGCAACACACACACACAACACACACATATTGACCATCATCGGAAGACGGGGTTTTAGGCCAACTTGTAGCAAGCCTCCAACGGGGCCTTAATTTGGCTTAAATGGCCAACCAAATTGCATGGCTAACTCAACACTATGCAAATGCATTTTCCTCTCTTCGGTGTGTCTGCGTGTAATAATTTTCCAATTTCATGCAATTTAATTTCCGTTGTCATGCGGCGGGCCGAGTAATTTTCTTTATTCGGTATTTGCTGGCCTCCAAATTTCACAGTCGCTATTTTCTTTGTCATGGTGGAAAGTTAATTGCATTTCGTTTTTAATATGTTATTCTATAGCTTAACCGTTAGTTTTAAAACTAAGGGGGTTAGAAGTCTATTTAAAACTCATTTGAAGTGAAGACTAGGGCCTTTTGAAAACTCAATTTACTAAGTCAAAAATCATTCTTCCTTAAAAAAAAGCACCCGACTCTTCTAAAATCTCCGAATATTATAATTAAAAACTTTTAAGCCCTAGTGGCTTCCCACCTTAAACCTTGGTGGACTTGGACTTCATATCCTTGACCACCGATCGCATGTATATCTTTGGCTTTTTTGCAGGATCATGGTACTCATATCCCTGTGCCCAGTCATAGCCCACGGCATAGGCAAACACCTGGCCATTGGCGCTGAGCGAGCACTTGGTAATGGACTCCGGAGCCTGGGCGCTGTTCCGCATCAGCCGGGATCGGTTTATACAATCCCAGAACTCATAGCTGCCATCGGATCCCACCGTGGCCAGGGTCTTCCGTTCGTGGTTCATTTTGATGTCATTCACCGCATACACATCGTAGTGGGTGCCTTTACTTATCTCCTTGCGATGGCACTCAAAGGACCATGTATCGTGGACATATGGCTGAACTGGTTGCATAATCACGCGGCCGTCGCTTTTGGCCAGAAACCAGCCAATAGGCTGTTGCGCTGTGGAGCCTTTGGTTATGGCCAAAGCCCGCACCTGGCTATTGGTTCCCCCAATTGTTGGACAGTCCCATTGCCGCGTGTCCTTGTAGCTACCCTCGATGGAGAAGGTCAGGACTTTCTGGTCGGAACAGGCCACTACGGCCAAAGTGTTCATAGTATCGGCGGCATAGGCGCGACCCGGAAGATTCAGTTCGAAAATGGACTTATCGCAGCGCGGATCCCAAAACTATACTGACAGGAAATTAAGAAATTGCATAGAAACTCCTCCGTTGACCCACCTTTGCGGTCTTGTCCCAGGAGGCGGTCATCAGGACCGGCGAGACCATCATACTACAGCAGCGCACTCCCGCCTCATGGTTGCCGATCTTGGCCAGCGTATTTGTGGCCACATCCAGGGCGGACACCTTACCGGTGACATCGCCCATATACAGCTGGCTGCCTTCCATGTTCCAGGCCGCATCCAGGACGATTGAGTCCATCATGTGCAGGCACCGTGGAATGGTGGCTCCTGTATTTGTCTGCACATCCCACACCCTCACCGAGCAATCCCAACTGGCGGCGGCAAGCCTGGAGCTACAGCTACTCCTGGACGGAGTAAACTCCAGCGCCGAAATGGAATCGGTGGGGGGCTCACACACCTCAACATCGTTTTGCATGATTCCCGCAGAAGTGGACAGGTATCAAATGTAGGAATTTACAAAAATGTTCCAATTTACAAGATCTAGTTTGTTTCAGAAATACTAAATGCTGGCCAGGAAAGACCTTGTTATCGAGGGTTACTAGTAGTTATAAAATGCAAGCAAATTGTTTTAAAGTATTCTATAGAATACCTTCTGCCAGGGTAACTTTTTTCTCCCAAAAGAAAAACGCAATCCCAGTTGGCCAACAGAAAAAAAACTTCTTTTGGGCCACAAGAACATCCCATGGCAAATTCCCCCGTTCACATTCACAGTCACCCGCCATAAAGTGGACAATTCATGGCTCCGCGGTGGCGGCATCCACAGACACAACCCCACCATCGGCACCACCGACAACAACTTCGTTCTCACCTTGATCCCAATCAACCTCTGGTGACATCGGCCACCTCCTTGCAGCATCTCCTCCGATCTAGCGACATGGTCGTCGCATAGCAGAGGAGCTGGAGCTGGAGCTGGAGTCTCTCTCTTTTCGCTTATTTTTATTTCGCCTGTCGACGGCTTCATGGCCAACTAATTAGGAGGCCGCGATCCTCTTGGCCCGATGTTGTAGCGGCAGCTGCAGCATACCATAACTATCTATATACGGGTTTCCAGATACACAAATATATATATATATATATATATATGTTTATATGTATATGGCGAACGACAAATTTGTGGAAAATTGCTCATGTGGTGCACATTCTAATTCTATTAGCCAAAAGCACCGCAAGGCAATTATGAAGCTCAAGTGGACGCTGCCGGTTGCAAGTTGTTTACTCCACAGAAAGAAAATATTTTATTACAACTGTTTATTTTAAAATTGATATTTAAGAAATATTGTAAAGTATTTCAATAATTTATTGTAATTACAAGTTTTTGCAATTTATCATTTTATAAGAAAATATAAGTGTTTTCTTTGCTGATATCAAATTGAACCCATGAGATTTTAGTTGGAACCCCTTTAACCTAAGTATATGTCATTTTGGTTTAAAATAAACCTATCTTGATGAAGAAAATTAAACAGCAAACTTGCTGTTTTTTTGCAACATAAAATTATTTTTCTTCAAATAATGTTGGAAATAATATCGTTTATTTATCAGTCAGAAGCTCAAAACGGTATAAAAGAGTCATTTCCGACCCTATAAATCATATATATTCTTGATCAGGATCAACAGACGAGTCGATCTAGCCATCTTTTAAAGAAAAAATTATTTTTTAATTTTTTCAAATTTTTTAGAGGATTAAATCGTGAAAATTTCTAAAATTTCGAACAAAAATTCAAATTTTCTTAAACTTTGAATTTAGTTTGCAGGTTTGTTAAGCTGATAAAAACTAGCACAGTAAAGCTTTCCGATTTGAAATCAATGCATTTTTGGCTTAGTTATGATAATTAGAAAACGATGATTTTCCGAATAAAATAATAATATGAAAATACTGTTCTAAAGACCTCTAGAATGGACATATTACCGATCTTTTTGGTGAATGAGTCATTTCCGACCATATAAATCATATATATTCTTGATCAGCATCAACAGCCAAGTCGATCAAGCCGTCTTAGGACAAAAAAATTGTTTTTTAATTTTTTCAACATTTTATAAGTGGTTAAAACGTTTAAAATTGCATAAATTTGATAAAAAATTTAAATTTTTTAAAATTTTTAATTGGGTATGCAGTTTTGTTAACCCAATAAAAACTAGCATTGGAAATCTTTCCGAATTGAAATTAATGCTTTTTTGGTCTAGTTATGAGTTTTTTAAACTTTGATTTTTCACAAAAATTTTTCTATGAAATAATTGAAATAATTACTAATGTTCGTTTCCCGATTTGATCCTGAAGTTAGTTTCTTTTCATGTTAAATTTAAATAATCAATAACAATAACCAAATAAATGTTGTATTCTGTATATAAAATTTATTTCCCTGTAGTTTCCAATTGCTACCAGGCTGATGCCTTTAATTTCCGCACGCACAGCTTGCAAAATATATTCCTGGAGAGAGTGAGGCGAGCAGCTGAGGAGGAACTGAAGCCGATCCCATGGCCACTGACCAGTGGGTTGAGTTACTGTCCATTTTTGTAATTTACTACCCGGAATGGCCCCTCTGGGGGTATCCACTGGGGGGACGACTGTGTTAAAAACTTTGGCTAGCGCGCATATAAATAAGTGGGAAAAATATACAGCTGATAGCCTTTCCCTAGTTAAGTCAGCTTACCAGATACTTATTACCCCTAATAATACCCATCATTAAATTAGTAGACCTATTTCAACAACCCCCAAAAGTATGCCGAAAATTCAAAGAGTTTTAATTACCAAATAAAAAATGTAGAATCATCAATTTCTATAAATAAACTGTGTATCTACCAAAACCTCATACCCTTTGGCACAACTTTCGGCACAGTATGAATAAAGTTACAAAGCAAAAATTTCCATGCCATTTATATTATTATTATTTTGCCTCGCTGTGTGGAATGGAATGCCTCTACGAAAAATTAATATGAGCACACATATTTTATAAAATATTTTAATTAAAATACTTGATTAAGGCTAGCGACAAATGAAACTTTGGATGCACATTTATTAATATTTGCGCATTTTAATGCTAGCTTAATATTTAACTAGCTTAATGTGAAAGCCATAAAGAGTTGATAAAACTATTTACATATTAACTATCACATTTCCTCACACCAATGTGTCTGTGTGGAAAATAATTAAATTGATGAATAAAAGTAGTAAGGAAGGATTGGGAATACCCTTTTTGATAGAGATATATATTGTATATTATTTAGAAAATTTTGTAAAATATATATATTTATATAAATACATATATTTTGTTTACCATTAAAACCAATAAATTTATGGAGATCTTAAAATGAACTTGAAATCTTTAAAATAGTTCTGTAAATAAAAACAAACTACTGAGTATATTAAAATATAAAAATTATAAAGGAAAGAGTCAGTAAAGATTTTTAATAATTATTATTATATATATAATATATTATTATTATTAATAATTATTTAATAATAATAACCTATTGAAAAAAAACTCTATGAGAATTATTTGCGGACTTAAGTATACTTTTTTCCACCATAACCTGTTTAAAACTTTTCAATTAATTATATATTTATTCCTTCACTGAACACCTTGGTAGAGCATTAAATTTTCCTCTATTTAGTAGAAAACTTAATACGAAAAAGTCTGCCAATGACGAGGAGTTCAACTCGACGGGGAATCACCGAGGCCATGGCATATGCCAAATGTGGCCTGGCCTGGTTGATTATGGCGGAAAAGATGAGCTGCGGAAAAGTGAGGGGCGTAAATAACTCTCGGCTGAAATGCAGATGATTATGATATTTGCCAACTGGCAGCAAACTTTTTTAATAAGTTTGTGAAAAGCAAAGTCTGGAGGAGTCTTCTCTTTTTCTATTTTTTATTTTTTTCTTCGCACTGAAAACTTGTCGGCTTTTCCGCCTGTTTGTCGTTTGGCATTTGGAGCCGTTGTTGAGCAAGTTTTACCGCAGGCACAGAGTCGTTCGAACAGAAAACCCATTGACCTTTGACACCTACGCAACACCTACATGCATCTCTGAAGATGTTTATTTTATTTTTATTTTTTTTTTTTGGCAAACAAATTTAAGCAATTACTCTCAAAGCAAATAAGCAATCATCATAAATATAATTTTATTTATCTTGCGGCAGCTCATAAATTTCCTGGATCTTTGCTATTTATAATGAGAAAAAAAAGAAACACGGCAGAAAAGTACAGCCACCCCTTTATCAACATCTCTTATTCTCTCTTTCACCGTTTCTCTTAGCTCTCCTGGCTTTAGTGGGGTTATATGATCATCCAAATCAAGCGGCGTCGGTGGTGTAATGGTCAGCATAGTTGCCTTCCAAGCAGTTGATCCGGGTTCGATTCCCGGCCGACGCACAAGTACATTTTTTGTTCTTTCTAAATTTCTCTATTGTTTTTAATTGTATTATTATTAAATACTTTTTTATTAATAAATTATAAAGCTCTTTAACACAAAAGTTTGCTTTTTCCCATTTTCATTACATTTTTTACTCAACAAAGCAAAAGCAAGTAACAATTTTATTATTTCCCCTCTGAAATTCTCATTTTATTTATCGCACAACTTATAGTTCAAAACATTTTTTCCAGTAGGAATTCCATTCAAAACCATCAGGACAGCTGTTTAAGGGGTTAGCGCTTCCGAATATTCCCATGGTAAGGAAAACGATGGTAAAAAGGCCAGCGGTCAAGTTCATGGCTTAAAATCAAATCTTAAACTGAAACTTTGGGATATCATTCCACAGAAAAGTTTTGAAATTATTTTAAAACGAATGCATTCTCCCCGCTCTTTTAAATTAAGAAATAAATACTACATTTATTAGTTCCCTTTCAAATTGAAAAGATTTTAAAATTGATTAGTTCCACTTAAAAAAGTTCAGAGTAAAAAATATAAATGAAATTGATGAGTCCCTCTAAAATATATAATTAACTTTTACTATTTTTTTGTATAAATAAAAATTACCTGAATATTTATTTTATACTTTTCTAACATAACTTAAGTACGAATTATTTAAATAATGGTATTTAATGTATGATCTAATTTAATTTTTACCGCAACTGACCCTATTGGGCCCAAACAGAAATTGTAAACATTTCCCCTTCCATAGCTTTTCACTAAACATTTTCCCAGAAAAAATTTATGGAAATTGCTCAAGTCATCAGGAATCAAAGAAGCATAACTTCTTTACGGTCTTCATTTCCGGCTGCGACTTTTGACGTTTTGCATTCGAAATGCGATTGAGCGGCGGCCGAAATCAAAAAGTTTTTCATTTTGGGCCAAAACACAAATTATCCATTAGACGGGACATCAGAGCGGACTCATCATAATGGCCACCGTCTGGTTATTATCAATTCAAGGCGATTTAAACGTTTATCGAATGACACAACACGGCTGGTGGTCTCAGCCCCCCCCCCCCCTGCTCCATCCAATCGAGTATATATATTCCCATTCCGAATCCATATCCCCTTCAATCGCTGGCAATCCCCAATCGCGGCTGTCAATGCTGTCAACATAATTAACGGCAAATGTCTGCTTCTGCCTTCGACTGGAAGCCAAAAGTCTCACAGTCATGACAAGAAGTTATGCGACAGCAATAATGATGATGATGATGATGACGATGGCTGCTGGTGGCCCCCATAGCTGCCCATCGCTGTCCATCCGCTCCCGTTGTAATTTCCACGCATAATTACACGGAATATGTAAATGAGGGCTAAGGCGTCGCCCCAGAGCCATGTCCCTTGACTTTGACTTTGGCTTCCGTCTTGAAAGTTATGCAGAGAACAAAAATCTAGAAATCTATACGTTAAGGAAATTAAAACCCTGATCCTAAATCAAAAACTAAATAAATGATTTTCTTGAATTAAACATCACAAACAGATTCAATCTAGACAAGTGTGCCTAAGACTGTATCCTATACATTTGTTAAATCATTTTTCGTTCTTTTAATTTGCAATAAATCCCTTTTTAAACAATTGTTTATTTAAATTCAATACATTTCATTTTCTACCTATTTTAAAGCTTCAAAATATTAATGCCATTGCATTTCATATATTTTTTTACAAGTGTATTGCTAATGCTTACAGGTGCCTATGCGCCATCCATTGTTTGGATATTTATATGAAAGGTGATTACGCGCAATTAATGCATCAATGCAATATGTTCAAGAATATATTGAATATACCAGTGAATACTAATGATGCTTGGGATAAATTGCCAAGTCAGAGATGCCAAAAAAAGAATGAAAAACTAATGAAAAAACGAAGCAGAAAGAAAGCAGAGGAAGCCAGAGAAAAATCATAGAAAAATTGAAGAAAAATTCAATGACTCGCGCTGGAGGGCAGCAAACTCTGGTCTAGTCGAGACTCTCCTCCAGTGAATGTCATTGGCTGCAGACATTCTCCAGACGACAGACAGCCCGCTCGCCCTGTGGCCATATCTCATTGTCATAACGGACAGTGCTGACAGTAAATAATCCATCAATAATTGCAACCTCCTCCTCCAGTTACCAGTTACCAGTTACCAGGTTCCCTGTCCCGAGTTCCCAGTTTTTCCAGCTCTTGGCCATGGCCAATGCTTTATGTCAATTGTGCTGACATTAATCATGGCAGTTTTGATTGCCCGATGTCGCGATATTCAGCTTAAAATTGCCCACCCAACAAGGGTATTGCTCTAGGCCACCGAGAAATCAGTCAGAAAACTCCTCTTTGGGTGTCCAGTTGAACTGGTTATGGGTTTCGTTGGTGGATCGGTATCTCTTCCTAGATTAAAGATAGTTGTCTAACCGAGGAGATTTAATGCGAGACTTTTTGACAAGCAGCCCGCTGATGATGATCTGGTTTATTTATATAGTTAAAAGTGTGTAGGAACTTTGATAAGTTAAGAAGAGTATTAGGAAGATGTACAAGTATATCTCTTTCGCATTTCTATTGTCTGTAAATGTAATATAAATCTTAAATTTCTTTTGAAGTATTCCTTTTTTTGAATATTTTTATATGACTTCCCGAGTTTTATCCACAATTGAGCTATACCCTAAAAGACAGCTCTTGAAGTGGCGCTTGTGTATATTTGTTTATGTTAAAAATTTGGAGTGCATTTGGAAGAAGAAGCCACTGAAGAGTCAAGAGCAAAGCCTTTTCCAGGTCAACTAATGGTGGTATTTTGGTAAAAAGGCAAAGAGGTAACAGGTAACAGGTAACAGGTACCAGGTAACTGGTGGCAACTGAGGAGCACATGCATCAGTGGCAACAACACACAGAGCCATATTATGTGAAGAACTTTTACTGAGGGAGAAAAGTGGATTTTCTTTTTGCGTCATTTTGCGGCATTTTGCCGTTTCTTTGGCTTGGTTTTCCCCGCCTCCTTCTACATTTCCTCGACCTCTTCGTCCTGCTCCTTGAGGCACTTTGTTTGTTTGCTTTTGGCTTTGGCGTGTTATTCACGTCTTGCTTCACACAGCAACTTAACCCATGCCACCCAAAAACCGCTCGCCTGGCTCAAAGTGCTGCTCGTGGCTGCGTCCAGGCGCAAAAGTGTTTGTAGCCGCCAGCCAGTCAGCCAGCCAGCCAGCCAGCAAGCTTATTTAGCCGCTCAAGAGCCTCCAAAGGGGGGTAGAGGAGGGGCTTTCGAGGAGGTATATCTGGGTCAGGGTTTCCCGCCGACTCAAAGATTGTGCCTGACATGGAAAAGTTAAGGAAAACGCACAAGTGAGGCGAAAGGAAGTGAAAGGATGTGCCTGACGGTTGTCAATCTGTTAATTTTGGAAAGTACTTTTGCGGTTGAGAAAAACTAAATCAAAGGTGGATAAAGCTAAGGGTTAAGTGTACATAATATAATGTTAAATTATACAGGATATTAAAAAGTACGAATTATTATTTAGGGATATTTTTTAGGAAAAAGCAGCAAAGGATACAACATACCTATACCTAAACGGATATTCCTTCTGGCCATTCAATTCTGGCCCAAATATCTGACCCCATTCACAGAGCCAACGGCAATTCCCACAAATTCACAAATGCCAAAACTCAATCCGAAGAAACCAAACAATATTCAGTGACAACCGAACTACAACGCCAGCAATCAAATCAGCCAATCAACTGTCGATTACTTAAGCCATTTTCAATCAACACGGCCAAAACCAAACCCACACGCGCAACCATATATTCGCAGATACAAATGGCCTGGCCTGCCACCTACCAGATACAGATACATGTGCACAGATTCGGATGCCGATTCAGATACAGCGGCACAGCAGCCAGCGAATTACAAATCTCAAACGCACAATAAACGCAATTACAAGCACGTTGTGGGAACTCCAGAGCTAGTGTGATAAAGTGGGGAATATGGAGGTGGTTTTAGGAAGTGATAGAGAGGGCTATACAGAAGTGATAGAGAGGGAGATTCAGCGAACCGCAGGCCACAATAACATGGCTCCCAAAGGAAATTGAAAGGCTGCGGCGCCAAGGATTTATGCAATTCTGGACTAAACCATCGGCTGGGCTTCATCAATCAATCAATCAGTCAGTCAATACATATGGCCAGCCTATGATTGAAGTCAATTGTGAGAAAACAGCATTTTTAATAAGTGGAAAACGATGGGGGGAAAATACCATCGAACCGTGGGCCCAAAGAACCAATTAGCTTAAAATTATATAGGATAAAAAACTAAAGCAGAGTGATAAGGTAAGAAAAATTTAAAATAATGAATTAAAAATATGCAGACAAATCAAAATAATTTAATAAGTCGTAAAATCATGGTTTTCTTCATCAATGAATAAATTCTCCTTGCCATCCCTAAGTTATCACTGAAGTATTATGTATGAATCATGTTTGCGACACCCCCAAACTGTGAAAGACACTGTGCCAAAATATTTGCTCCGATATTCCCTTTTCAAATGTAGGAGTGGGTGGCAATTGTGACAGACCCCACCCTCCATCCAATTGGCAATATTTTTCGCCCCTCTTGAACACACATGCGTTCTGGACCTAAAAGTTTTGTTTTCATCAGATATGTACACGCAGACACACAGTTGGGCAAACAAACAAACACCCATAAATTCATATATATACGTATATGTGCTAGATACACATATGTATATATTGGAACAAAGTTCGATGCATAACAAATATTGTATCTTATGAGTTTGTCTGGCAGATATCTGGGCTTGTTGACAATGCATGAATAGGATAAATACTTGCAAATTGTTTGCAGTAAATAAATCAAAATGTATCTGTGGGACTCGAGTATGAAATGTATCTGAGGAGGTGTAAATGCAAAGATTTACTTATTCATTGAGAGTCGACTGCCTGCCTTGCGAAAGTATCTTTTCAATTGTTTTGTTGCTTAGGAGGTTAGATTTTTGTATTTAATTTGAGTAAATATATTTAAAGTGTCAAAAAATATAGTCTCCATAAATTCAGACAGCTGTTGTTAGCTTTTCTAAGTCTGTTCTGGGACAGTTAACTCAAGTTTTTGCCAGTTTACTCTAGGCATAACAACTTGTCCATTAAACTAAAATAAAACTTTACTTTCATTTTTAATTACTTTAAGATAAATTAAATAAGATAAGACCTAAGTGAGTAACCTAAAATTACCACAAGCCTGGCTTTTCCCTATTCCATTCAGTCATTATTAAACACTCTCGAGATGAGGTTTTCCCAAAGTTGTTGCCTTCAAGTTCTAATCCTGCTCCTCCTGCTGCTAAAGTCCCCGTGCACGGTTCAGGAAAAACTCCGCAAATACTTTTGGAGTTCTCTTCAGAATAAAACAATAATAAAACCAAAGATTCATCCGTTGGTGATCAGTACCTGGAACTATAGGGATGCCAATCTGCAGGCTTGGAGTGTCTTGAAGGAAGGACCTCGTCGAACGCGGCAAGCTGTTATTCAGGGCTGTTTGGCCTGTCAGCACAAGCGTTGTGGCCGTCTTTTGGCCGAAGGATCTGCTCCGGATGAGGAGGGAAATCTCACCGTCGAGGCAGCCCTCATGGACGGCGAAACCTTGGAGTTTGGAGCCGTAGCTGCCCTGGAGGGTATCCGACAAGCCATCCTTGTGGCCGATGCCGTCCTCAGATACACAAAGCACTCCCTGATTGTGGGCAAAAGTGCTGCAATATTTGCCAGATCTCTTGGCTATCAGGAGAATGAGATTCCCTCAAGTCGCTTCACCAAGAAAGTTCTGAAGAGATGGCGCCTGCAGCACTGTCAGCCTAATTTCTGGCGTGATGTTCGTCCTTCACCTACAGAGAATTGTGGTCCGTATTATCCGTTGCCGGAGGACCTTCTCCACTGGCAACCGATGCGCCAGGAATATCACATCCAGGAGGGTCAACACGATCATATAGCCTTCTTGGCCCTGGATGATACTGGTCACTTGCATGTGGCCAGCCACTCGAGTGGAGCTCGTTTCCGGATCCCAGGACGAGTGGGAGACTCGGCGGTGCCGGGTGCCGGGATTTATGCGGATAACGAGGTGGGTGGGGCTGTGGTCAGCGGAGACGGCGATGTCCTGATGCGACACCTGCCCGCCTTCCTTGCCGTTGAAGCTCTGCGAGCTGGTCACAATACATCGGAGGCAGCCGAGTTGGTAATCCATAGATTACTCAAACACAACACGGAGTTCAATGGCGGCATTGTGGTGGTGACTCGTCTGGGTTCCTATGCCGCCGCCTGTGCCGGACTGGATGAGTTCCAGTTCGTGGTCAGTGGTGGCCATGAGTACCTAAGCATGGCGCGTGTGGAGAGGATCAAGTGTGTGGAGAGATCAATCGAAATCATTGTTGAAGGACCCACTGGACACTTTCTACGCATTCCCGAAAAAATTAATGGAAATGCATAAAAAGAGTCTAGAAAACTTGAAGAAATCAATGCAAGTGTACAAAATATTAAGGTAAAAGTGTAAGACAAAGAAAAAAAAACGACGAGAATTTTTAGCTTTTAGTAGGAAACTATTTAAGTTGTAAAGTAGGTAATCTATAAGTATTCATAGAAATAATATTAAAAGAACTAACAACATAAGACCACATCAAGAACGAATCGAAACATAAAATGATTGAATTATAAAAATGAACAAAATATTTAACAATTCAGAAAATGGCCTTTAAAAATAAATAAAATAACTGTTTTCCCTTTATAATAAATACTTTAATATATTATTTACTTTTGAGTGGATTCACCAAACAAAAACCTCCCCATTTATACCTCGGACAAATACAGTTCCACTCTCATTTTCATTTCAGTGTCGTTTTGGCCTTTTCCTATTACCAAGGCTAAAAAGTTTTCGCATTCGCGCGAGTCCTGTGTGTAAGCTACCAATTTCAGTTTTCTTCCGTTTTCCTGCATTTTCATTTTTCTTATTTTTTGCTGTGGTTATTTCCCAATTCATCTGCTTTGCATATTTCTTTGTTATGTTTGTATTATTTTCGTTTCCTTTTGCCCAGGATGGGACTATTTCCCCACACCAAAAACTTATTTTTTCTGTTCCAGATTTTGTAACATAATCTCCTTGTGTCGAAAGAAAATCTTTGGAAAATATATGCAAATAAGTACAGGCTGTGGCATGCTTGACCTTAGCCTTAAAGCTGAAAAATGATTTCGGTAAAATTTAATACAATATTTTACTTTTACAAATTTTATACCACAATTAAAAGATAACCAATTAAAGACGTACAAATGTCGTCCATCGGCCATATCTTTTGCACACTTCGATTGTGAGGCAGTGTGTCATAAAAATTGATTGCAATAACTCACTGATAAGTTAACCGATAATTCCAAGCCACATAAATTCTCCAATGACCGGCTATTAGCCATTGAAAGACATTTGGGCTGAATTAAAAACATACAAAAATGTGTGATAAGAAAACACCCGAAAATAAGAATATCAATACAAATCAAAACAAATGTTAATAAATAATTCTTAATTAGCAAGTATCACGGGGCAAGTGAGTCACTACGAGCTATCTAAGCCAGAGATAAGACCCTTCAATGGGCAAGCAAACAAAGCGAATATATATTCCGTGTGATATAAGTTCAGCGCAAAAAAAAAGAAATAATAATAATACTAATCTATAGGGAAACATCTTGAGGGTGAGTACTGCATTGTAATTTCTTTATCACTTTGTTGACTCTTGATTAATGGGAATTTTTCTCAAGTGTCTTGGGGTGTTTTTTCGGTTTTTTCAAAATTATTTGCAGTCAAGTTTCAGTTGTGTTCGGTTGCCCAAAGCCAAAGGAGGCTCTCAGTGGAAAATGCTGCTTTATTTGTTGACTTGTTTGCTTCTGACTTCTCAGCTTATAAGTGCAGAAGTTCAGCCAGAGGTTCAGAATGCTGTGGAACCTCCAAAATGTTATAGCTGCGAGGGCATTAATTGTCTCAGAACAACACGGCAGAATGTAACCATAAGCTGCTCTGATAAACTGGATGTCTGTGTGACTATTTATAATGATTGTAAGTATACAATTCAAATTAATTAATATTTACCTAATAAGCTCTTTAAATTGAAGTTGCTGTCAGCGAAAGGGGTTGCTTCTCTCAGATTTCCTTGGCTGGCCAGGCCAAGTGTGCGGCCAAGGACAGTCAGTGCCAAAAATGTAGTGGCCAATTGTGCAATAATCAAGGTCGCAGGGACTTTACTTGCCTTCAATGCAGTGGCTCTGATGTGAGTACACCTTATCCCTTTATTATCCTTATTACTTAATTAAATTTCCTTAATCTTCAGACCGCCGATTGTAACAAGGGTGCCTCAGCCTCCCTAACTCCTGCCCAGTGCGGACTCCCCACGTCGGCCAACTCCTATTGCTATGTCAAGGTCGTCGGCTCAGCCCTGCAACGTGGGTGTGCCCTGTCTGTGAAGGAGCAAAAGTCCTGCCTGGATGATGAGAATTGCTCCCTGTGTCTGCCGGAGGACTCGAGTGATTCTGCTGCCTGCAACAATTTCGATTTGGATACCAGCTCCAAGAATGGACAAGGACACTTGGTCAGCAGTTTGGGACTGGCATCCATTGCCTTGATAGTGCTTAAATTGGTTAAATAATTATGTTTTAACACTTACAAATAAATGAAACCATTAATCATTCACTTGGTATATAATTTTAAAGTGTTATCTATATTTCTTGTTTAACATTAAAAGACCATGTGATGGAATAACACCACAGTTCAATCACAGGGGAATTCTTTGGCCATCAGTTTATTTTAGAGGGCACTTAAAAAATGGTAGCAAAAATACAGTTGCGGTTGGAAAAATAGAAACATTTGTTACTATTGTTTTTTTTTTTTTTATTTGAAGAATGGTTTAAAGATAATAGTCAAGGAAATGTTCCTTGGAATTTTATTTTTTTGTTTAATAAACCTTAAGAATTGTAAGGCAGAGGATAACCTGATCATTGATCATTAGGCAGTTAAAATATTAAACAAGTTCTATAATAAATTAAACAAAAATTTCTAGAATCTCCAAAGTATTCTACAAATGATCATAGTCTACGTTCTCCAACAACGTTCTCGAACTACGTTCGTTAACTATAAGTTTAGCAAATCATGATCGGATTAAGAAAATATTTTAAAAGTAAAATCTACATCAGATTTAACAACAAATTAATTACCGAAAGTAAGGTGTAAATTTTATCTCACCAATGGATTTAATCTTTATCTTTTTTCGAGCATATAAGACTGTCCCCTGCTGTAAGTTCTTCATGAAAGGTTCTCAAGTGTTTGGCCATTTCCACGAACAAACGTACACACAATCGCATTTCGGCACACACCGTCAGACACACACAGACAGAAACCGCACTCGAGGACTCTTCAGTGGAGCATTTGAAGTGGTTGGCGGTATAAAAGCCGATCGCATTGGCCAATTGCCCGACAGTCGAAACCCCAAAATGAAGGCCCAAACAATTGCGAGTGCTGTGCTGCTGGTGTTCCTGGTGGCTAATGTGGCGGCCAATAAGGTGACCACATGCCACAGCTGTGAGGGATCCAACTGCCAGCGGGTTAGTTTGACTAAGACGCAATCCTGTGTGGATTCCTTGGACTATTGTGTGACCATCTACGATGAGGGTGAGTCAGAGATTGATTACCTTTTGAGTAAAAAAGGTACTTAAAGAGCTGTTTAAATATTTGCAGCCAAGGTTCTGTTCAAGGGTTGCTCGCTGGAAATACCCTATGCCCTGCGTTCGAAATGCAACGATAATCGTTCTTGTTACAAATGCAATACGGATAAATGCAATAATGTAGGATCGGCCAAGTATGCCTGCATTCAGTGCGATTCCAGCAAGGTATGGTTTATAATATTTAAAAATATTAAGCAACATTTAATTTACAATTTTTATAATTCCTGAAAAGGACTCCAATTGCGCCTCAAATGCTGACACCTTGGAGGCTACCCGTTGTGCTGCCCCCACAGCTCCCAATTCCTATTGCTATGTCAAGTCCTCAGGAGGATCCATTGTGAGGGGATGTTCCACCACCGAAACCGATCAGCAAACCTGCCTCAATGATGCCAACTGCCTTTTGTGCTCCTCTGGAGATATTAGGAACTGCAATGCGGTCAACATTGAGGAGAGCTCCAGCGCTGGAAATCGTTTCATTCGTTTTCTGAGATAATTTTAATGTTAATTCAAAAATATATATATGGCACATTTAATAAAATTTAATAATAAATGAAAAAAATACAAGAATCTAAACCAAAATTACCAAGAACTTTAAGTATTTATGAAATTGCAATTAATTTATTAATAGTTTTATCAACAAGGAAAATTAATTGCTATTAGTTATCATTGATATAGTCATATACAGAGGGTTATATATAATATCATAAACAATACTTTAATAAGACATTGGATAAACAGTTCTTAAATAAATGAAGTAATCAAAACGTTTAATTTGTTTCTGACATATCAATTCATTTCTATGTTTTATGTGCTTTTAAAAAATAAGAAATTTTAAGCAAATAAACACTAACGTTATAGTAATTATCGATTATTTGTGATTACAGTTGCACGGTTGTATATAAAATCCCGATAAATACCTTTAACCTTCAGAATAACTCCTTAATTATTATCTCTCAACGACATTCCTTCTAAGCCATTGTCCAAGCAACTTGTCTAATCGCAGAAGATAACCGCTTAATGGCAAAAAAAGTTCCATTAACGTTGTAAACTTGTTTTATTTGCTTGCGACTAAGGAACTACTCTATAAGCTGCCCCACAAGACCACAGCCACTCGAGTGCAATTGGGCTTAAGGAACCCAGCAAAGACAACAATATTGTTTATGCAATTACCGAGTAGAACATGAAAGGAGAATCACTTAACATGTTTGTTTACACACTCAAGTCCGCCTATCGATGATGGAATATCTGAGAGGGCTCTCTTGACCAGAATTTATATAAAGAGCTGGTCACCAGTTAAGTCTCTTTCAATGCTAAACTTGCCTTCTCCCAATGTCAATCACCAATATATTTTCATTCCTGCTGGCGCTCGTATTGTTTACGGGCAGCCATGTCCTGGCAGCGGAAAGATGTGTCTATTGTCGAGGCATTAATTGCCAAAGGAGTAGCTATAGTGGTGAGGAAGCGTGCTCGGATCGGTTGGATACCTGTGTCAGTGTTTTCCAAGGTGGCATTATCCAGGCCCAAGGATGTTGGGAAAGTCTAGAGGATAATTGGCGGGGAAAGTGCAAAGAAGGCGGCAAGGAAACAGGAGTTGATTGTGAAATTTGTGTTTTGAATAAATGCAACAATGTGAGCTCCAAACGAGCTGCCTGTCTTCAGTGTAATAGTACTGAGGTAATTATTAAATAAATATACATTATTGTGTTATTTACTATATTCTCTCTTTAAGGACACCCAATGTGCAGAAGCTCCTGAACTTTTAAAAGCCCAATCGTGTTCTATTGCAAGAACGGGAAGGAGTTTTTGCTACTCGAGTATCGTGGGGGATCTTGTGGAAAGAGGATGTTCTTTAAGTCTTTCGGATCAAATTAAGTGTCTGGCTGATAGAAATTGCCATTTGTGTGATCCCTTGGAGCTACCCCACTGCAATGATCAGATTGTTAAGGAGGATGATTCTCCCACAACCGATACAACGACTGATTCAACAACAGACTCAACGACAAGTTCTTCTGGTTCAACAGATTCCAGCACCTCCACTAGTTCTTCCACAAGTTCTTCCACAAGTTCTTCTACGAGTACCTCCACAAGCTCTCCAACTACTCCAACAACAGTCTCACCTACTACTCCAACGACAGTTTCACCAAGCACTTCTACAACCACAGAGATCCCCCAACAACTAAACCAAATTCAGCTTTCAGATTGCAAGTTTCCATTTTGCTGATCTTTGCTCAATTGGCACTTGGCGTTTATAATCTTCATAAATAAGCCGGCAATATTCACTTTGGTTTTTTAGTTTTTAATTCCCACGACCTTCTCCAAAAACCCCTAATCTATGTACGGACTATTGTTAAACTAATTTTTATGAAATGACCATAAATATGCCGCCTTCAACTACAATCTTTTGGGTGCTTATGTTTGTGGTTTTATGTCATAGATTAAAGCCAGATAAGCTCTGGAGTATATGACGAAAATCCAATAAGACGATAAGAGAACCTATTTATATAATCATCATATTTAATAGGAATGATTGGTGAATTGTGAAATAAGATCTACTATAATTCCGGGCTGATTTCATGCTTTATTTTGTGTTTTGATTAAGATTAAAAAAGATTATAAAATAATTGGGTTATTTCCATATCGAGGAACGATCGAAAATCTAATACGAGTAATAAAGTAAAAGAATGCTATGAATCATTGTACAATTAACTTTCTTTAGCCTGCCACACTTTTTCCAATTTCAAAACATTATCCAAGTACCTGGTTTAAAGTCCAATAAAAACCCATAAATGTGAGCAATATACGTTAAGAGATTAAGTTCTCAGGAGGCCTCTATCTGGGCTTTTCCTAGTCCCAGCAACTACTTGATTTACAGCCACGATCCAATAAAGGCGCGATCTGAATGATATATTTCCAAAGCAACTATCGATTAACTGTAACCAATAGGTTATCGATTGACCAAGCTTTAAGCGTTTTTGCCTTCACAGATACTATAATATGAGGAGTGCAAAAAACCCAATGCAATTACCAATAGTTGAACAAACAACGCTAAAACCCTACTCCCCAATCAACCAACATATATTCTGGCCTGTTATCGCGTCGTGTAAACGTGTTCACATCGCCTACATTTTTTCGCCTGATTATGACTGGCTTATCTCTCGGCCAATAGTGTATTTGTTGGTGCTTTTTTTATGTTAATTCCCCTCTATCGGTTATAAATAACAGCGCTTTATCGGACATAGAGCGAGCTATGGCAACAGTCCGCACACAATATGGGCCCCTAATATAGAGCCAATAATCAAACAGCGCCGATAGGACGACACATCAATCGATCGATCGATCGCCCGGACCTGAATCTATAAAAGGCCTCACATTGGCCAGTTAAAAATTAGTTCCTCGAATCCATTTTTGTGGATAATACGCGTGACTTGTCTTTGGCCTAAAGTGGCCCTAAAAAGCGATCATGAAATTAATCGCAGCAGGAGTAGCCTTGCTACTTCTCGTGCTCAGCCCATCGAGTGGTAGGTGTTACTAATAAGCTCAAGGATAAAGGATAAAACCATGTGAAAGTGAAATTTGGTAGAAAACCTTAAATGAAATCATAAAGGATAATTAATAAGGAAAAGTGAAAATAAAAACTACAAAAGTGATATGCCTTGAAAATATTATATAAGCCCATTTGTGTAATACCGAATTAGGTTAAGACTTTTTGTCAAGAAACTAAGACAAAAACTAAATTAAACAGTGTTCTTAAAAATTAATTAAAAGTGAAATCATGGCACTAAATTAATAAAAGAAACTCCTAATAAATAAATATGAACTCTTCAAATATTTTACAAATAAATTTCCCATAAAACCCTCCATTATATAAACCCAAAAACTATTCCTATAGAAAAACAATGAAGTTGTGAACATCCCAAGAACAATTAACACCTTAAAATAAATATAAAAATAAATGGAGAAAGACGTATCTTATCTCTGGGAAGTATTATCGGCGCGTGTTATTCCCCCAATCGGACATGAGAAATGACGGAAATGCATGTCCGTCAAACGATCGCCGACATTTATGAATCATGCTTTTATTAACTATATAACATAGCCGCCATACTAAAGCTTTATCTGCGCAATAAATAATGCCCACTTCATTATGAGACATAAATGTGTAACTAATAATATTGGTTACAACTTCCTGGTTCAAAGTATACATTTATTTTCTAGCTGCAAATTGCAAAGCACTCTAAGGCACAATCAGAACTTTTGAGTGCTTGGGAAATCTATGAAACTTGATTTATATGGATTAAGTTTAGGAAAAGATTACGAGTTTGGACTTTGCTAAGTTGCACGTTTGGTTGCAGCCTAGATGGTTGGGGGGAATTTATTGAGAATGAATTCAAAAGTACACATGTTTATATTCCTTCTAAATGTTAGTCAGGAAAGGCCTTTAAATTATTTCAAAATCTTTAACATTGCCTCTCAATATTCCTTACATAAATATCCTTTTCAGGAACATAACTTTCTTTGGTTATATAATGAAACCTGCACTTCTTCGTACTCTCTCCTACTTTCCCTTTTCCATTATGACTTTTTTGCTGAACACGCTTCTACGTATAGATTAAACCCCTTACGATCGGCAATGAATTACCCAATTTTTTATGGGCCCACCACAAAACAATTATTAATTTATTAGCCAGAGATTACGAGTCGAAAAGATCGCGACAATGCGGCAACGGCAGCCAATGGACATCGATGGTCATAAATAACGCCAAAATCGATTGCCAGTTGGTTGCCCCATAAATAGTCTTTAATACGTAACTAGAGTCGCATGGTTTCATTAATTATTGATTATAAGTCCAGGTATTATCTAGGAAGGATCAGACTTTTAAGTTCTGAAAGCTAATCGAATACTAAGAGCGAGGTTCTGGCTTAAGAGGATCATCTTCCTTGAGAGATTAGCTAAAATGTATATAATTCTTAAAACTTTTGTAACTTTCAGATGCCTTTCTCCACAACTGGCATTCGGGCCCCATTAACTGCTACGAGTGTTCCACCCTCGAAGAGTGCTCCGCTGGAGCTGGTGCCCTGCGCAAGTGCCTGAATAACGATGCCCAAAGTTGTGTGGCCATTTTCAATGCCAATGGAGCTGTGATCCAGCGGGGTTGCAGCGATAATCTGGAGACAGACTGTTCAGAAAGTGGCGATAATTGCTACCAGTGCAAGTCGCATGGCTGCAACTCCCTAAAGACCTCTGAGAATCTGCTGGAATGTGTCGTTTGCGATGCCCAAAGCGATGACAACTGTGTCTTCGACATTGAGCTGGTGACCGAGAAGAGGAAGTGCAACCAGCAGTGTATCACAGCCCTGTATCCCACGAACACTGAGGTGGGAGCTCCCCTGGAGTTGGTGCGCACTTGCATCGATGACCTGGATCTGGATGATAGTGAGGCCTGCGCCGATGGCACCCTGGAGAACTGTGTGGCCTGCAGTACAGCCAGTTGTAATACCGTGGACCTGGGTGTCCGCGGCAGCTGTAATTCCTGCAAGGGAGACTGCTCTAGTCCAAAATCCACAACCTGCCGAGCCGTTCCCTCTGGCGATAATGCCGAGAACTGCTTTATCGAGTTTGACAATTCCGGCACCATTTACGAGATGGGCTGCCTCAGTCAGTACAATGTGAGCGATGTCACCTTGATGGAGAGTAACAAGCAGCTGTGGTACTGCACCGGCGACAACTGCAATGTGGAGTCTGCTCTGGCCAAACCCCAGACCTGCACGCTGTGCAGTTCCCGGACAGACGATGACTGTGCTGTGGCGCCCGAGAATGTGCTCACCGTAACCCAGTGCGAGAGTCAAGTGAACAGCGATTGCTACTCCAGAATTCTGGATAATGGACACACCGAGCGTGGCTGCCTAACCAGCTTGGAGGGTGAGGAGTATCTAGACTGTCTGCGGGATAGCGACTCGGACAAGTGTCTAAGGTGCACAGGAGAGAAATGCAACCAGGAGGTGGGTTTTCTTCGGTTATTGCATCAAAATATATATTCATCAAAATGTATCTTTATAGCTTCAACCTGCTGACCGCTTGAGCTGTCATATCTGTGATTCCAGCGAGGATGATAGCTGCGAGGTTTCGCCCTCCGCCACTGCTCTCTGCCTGCTCCACACCAGCAACCAGCAGTGCATCACGAGCATCGATGTCGAAGGCAACACCCTTCGTGGCTGCAGTGCGTCCTTGGAGTGTGACTCTAGCAGTTCCCGAAAGTGCCAGAAATGTGAGGGAGCCGATTGCAATACAGCCAATCTCAAGAGGCTGGAGGATGGTCAGCCTGGACTCTGGGGTCAGAGTCTGCCCCTCAGTTGTGAAACTTGCAATGACACCACCGCCTGCGCCTCTCCCACAACCTCAACCTGTGAAAACAACACGGACTATTGTGTGACCGTCTTCAATGCCGAGGGATCTGTAACCGCCAAGGGCTGCAGCCAGGTGGTGGAGCAATCCTGGAGCACCTACTGCGATGCCAACACTGCCAACTGCCACAACTGCAACTCCAATGCGTGCAACACCGCTCGATCCCTGGATAATTACAACGAATGCATCTACTGCGATCGCGACAACGAGGACTGCGAGTCGAATCCGGAAAATGTCAAGACCCATCGGCTTTGCAATGGCCAGTGCATGACAGCTCTACTCAGGAGATCCATTCTGAACTTTGTCTACGACACCGTTCGAGGCTGCTTGGATGACAAAGATCCGGCAGATCAGGAGACCTGCATTGCTGGCACCGATGAGCGATGTGTGGCCTGTACTGGACCCAACTGCAATGTGGACAACCTTCTGGAGGAGCGACTCAGTTGCTATCACTGCTCCGGCAGTGCAGAGTGTGAGGATCCGTCTCCCAGCCAGTGCAGTGAGCAGAGCATCGAGGATAGCTGCTACATCCGGTTCGACTACGAGGCCGACGTCCAGGGCATGGGCTGCCTGTCCGATCTGGATGAGGAGTTCGTTGAGGATAACTTCCACCAGCTGCTTTTCTGCAACACCACCAACTGCAACGACTTTGAATTGGTCACTTCGATCAAGCCCACCAAGTGCATTGCCTGCGACTCCTCCGAGGATCCCAATTGTGTGACAGATCCCAGCAAGATCACTCTGATCGGAAACTGCGGTGTTTTGCCCTACACCAGCTGCATGATGCGTGTGACAAGTGAGTTCAATTATCCGATGTCAACTCCCTTTGGTGTCTTAACCCTTGTTTTCCCCTTCCAGATGGCATCACCCAGCGTGGCTGTTTGAGCAGCTTGCCCCGTGCACAGTTGACCGCCTGCCTTGCTGGCACTGGACTCTGTCAGGTGTGCGAGGGTGACCACTGCAATGTGGACATCTATCCCGCCGATCGTCGTCAATGCCAACGCTGTAACTCCCTCACCGATCCCAATTGCTCATCCGCCCCGGATGCCGGCCAGCCGTGTCTGTATTATCAGGAGAACGAGGGCTGCAGTGCCAAGTTGGTGAATGGGGAAACGTACCGCGGCTGCCAAAGGGAATTCACCTGCGACGATTCGGATAAACAGCACTGCCGCATGTGCTCCGGCAAGGACAACTGCAATGTGGCGGATCTCCTGAGCTCCAATATCGGTTATCCCCAGAACTGGGTCACTCCCCTGTCAATTGTTACACCTGCAATGGCACCGAATGTCAGGGAGCCAGCGTGGGCACCCTGAGGAAGTGTGTGGGAAATGATGAGCAAAATTGCGCAACAGTTTTCGACGAGTCCGGCTTGGTGGTTCTGCGTGGATGCTCCGATACCCTTTACAACGATGCGGACATGCTGCAGTACTGCGATGAGAACTCTGGCAACTGCAAGTTCTGCAAGTCGACGGGTTGCAACAATGCCAAGGAGCTGGACACCTATGTGGACTGTCTGATGTGCGATGCTAGCGACGGATCGGACTGTGTCCGCAAAGTGGGAGATGTAACTCGTACCTTGTCCTGTCAGGGAAGCTGCTTCACCGGTCTCTATCCTCGCAACCGTTCGGAGGCGAATCCCGTGCTGGATCTGGCCCGTGGTTGCCTGGATGATCTGGAGTATGATGATCGGGTGGCCTGTGCGGCGGGCACCTTGGAGAACTGCGTCTCCTGCACGGGCGCCTCTTGCAACAAGGCTGATGTCCCAGAGGATCGTCTCAGCTGCAACTTCTGTGAGGATTCCGCCTGCGAAACCCTGAGCAGCCAGCTCTGTTTGGGCCATCGGTCCGAGGATCAGTGCTACATCCATGTGGATGATCTAAGCGTGAAGGCCATGGGTTGTGTTAGCGATTTGGCGGATACCTTCCTGGTGACCAATCGACGAGATCTATATTTCTGTTCCGGAGATGATTGCAACACCAAGGATAAGTTGCGCCCGGGCATTGCTTGCAACGTCTGTAACTCCATCGATGATGACAAGTGCGTGAGCTCAGGCGGTTCTTTGGGCGTTGTTTGTCAGCATCAAATTTATCCGGAGTGCTATACTTTCCTGAACGAAGGTGAGACCATAAAGTTTATTGACCAATCATAGACTTATTATCAACTTCTTCTAGACGGCGTTCTGGAGCGTGGCTGTCTTATGGACACGAGTGACGCCCTCTTCGATGAATGTTCCAGCTCTGGCAGCACCAACTGTACCGTTTGCAACGAGAACAACTGCAACACGGTTGTGTATCCCTCGGACTGGCTGACCTGCCTGCGTTGCGATTCCTCCAGCGATGCTGACTGCCTCTCAGACCCCTCCGGCTACTCCAGCCATTGTCGCACCTACTCCGAGGACGATGCCTGCGTTACCAGCCTTTCCAAGGGTCGCACTCGTCGTGGCTGCCAATCGGAGCTGAATTGCGATGCATCTCAGCCCGGTAACTGCCGCGTTTGCTCCGGCGCCGACTGCAACGATGCGGATCTCCAATCCTCGTATGTGGGAGAGCCAGGCAAATGGACCGATCTGCCCCTGAGCTGTTATGTCTGCAGCGATGCAGCCAGCTGTGCCACGGTTAGTGGAGAACCCACCAAGTGCGAGGGTAACAACAAGCAGACCTGTTCAACCGTCTTCAATGCCGATGGTCAGGTGGTGGCCCGCGGATGCAATGATGCCGTCCAACTGGCCAATGCCGATTACTGTGACAGCAACAGGGACAATTGTGTGCAGTGCAAGTCAGATGGCTGCAATAGTGCTCTGTCTCTGGATGACTATGTCGACTGCTACTTCTGTGATGCCGAAGAGGACTCCAGCTGTGCTTGGGAGCCTACGACGACCAGGAAGTGCCTGGGTCAGTGCATGACAGGTCTGTATCCTCGCAGCTCCTCCTGGGACTCGGCCCTTCTGCCCACTCGCGGCTGCCTGGATGATCTGAGCGAGGCGGAGCGAACCTCATGCGCCGCAGGAACTCATGCCAACTGCACCGCCTGCACTGGGTCCTTGTGCAATGACAAGGATGTGATTGAGAGCCCGCAGGAGTGCTTTATATGCAACGATTTCGAATGTATAGATGTGGTTAGCTCCAAATGCCTGGCCTACAGGGAGAACGATGAGTGCTATATTGCCTTCGATGACAACAGCGTGGTGGCCATGGGCTGTGCTAGCGACTTTGAGACGCAGGTGATCAAGGAGCTGGTGGCCCAGCAGCGGATTATCCTTTGCTCGGGACCCAACTGCAATACCCAGAACTCGACGCCCGATCCCAATACCTGTCTGACCTGTAACTCCCTGGAGGACACACGCTGCGCCACCAATCCCAACCAACTGCTCACCACCGACATTTGCTCCAAGCTGCCCTACACGGCCTGTGTGACCCAGATCGATGATCGAGGCACCACCATAAGGGGATGCCTGTCCAGCCTGGGTGGCGATGACTTCTACGAGTGCCAGACGGGCGCAGGTGAACTCTGTGAGACCTGCACGGGAGAACGCTGCAATGGGTTGACTGTGTTCCCGGCGGATCGCAGGAAGTGCTACCAGTGTGACTCTGCCACCGATGCCAATTGTGCCGCCTCGCCCTCGAGCTTGACCAGCTCAGTGTGTCCCATTTACTCCACGGACGAGTCCTGTGTGACCACTCTGGTTGATGGAATCACTCACCGAGGATGCAGCTCCACATTAAGCTGCTCGAATCCTTCGGATCCGCGCACCTGCAGGGTTTGCTCTTCTGCCGATGGCTGCAACACCGTGAATCTGGAAAGGGTCAGCGAGGATGGTTACCCGGGCATTTGGCAAGAAACGCCCATTAAGTGTCTCGAGTGCACTGGAACTGCCTGTGCGTCGGGCGGAGGCACTCTTACCGAGTGCTCGGGCTATGACAACTGTGTGACCGTCATTGGGGAGGATGGAGCGGTCAGCCAGCGTGGTTGCTCCGACCCCGTGTTTGCCGCCTCCACGTATTGCGACGAGAATCCCACGTCGTGTCCACGCTGCAACTCCAACGGATGCAACACCGCCGACTCCCTGGACAACTACGTCCAGTGTATTGTGTGCGATTCCAGTGAGGATGCCAATTGCGTGAATGATCTCTTACAGATCACCAGGACCCGGCAGTGCCACCAGCGCTGTGTCTCCGCCTTCCGCCCTCTGTTTGAGGAGACCGAGGATCCCAGCTATGCTCTGGTGCGCAATTGCTATGACGATTTGGAGAAGGAGGATCGGGATGCCTGTACCGCGGGCAGCAAGAAGTTCTGTGCCACCTGCGAGGGCGCCAAGTGCAACTCGGAGGACTTGGTGGCCAGCCGACAGAGCTGCTTTGTCTGCCAGGGCGATGGTTGTCAGAAGCCGGAGGCCATGAGCTGCGCAAATTATAGGGAGAATGACGAGTGCTACATCCAATACGACGAGGAGCGATCGGTATACGCTCTGGGCTGCCTGAGTGAGTTGAGCCATGAGGACATCTATCTGCTGAAGCGTTCCAAGAGACTGCTGACCTGTAGTGCCGGAGACTGTAATACCCTGGAATCCATACCAGAAAGTGAGAGCTGTGCTTTATGTAGCTCCCGGACGGATGCCTCATGTGCCATCAGCCCATCGAGTGTGTCCAGCTCCACGGACTGTGCTCTCGGCGGTTTCCCCGAGTGCTATTCCCGGGTTCTGTCCGACGGCAGCACCGAGCGGGGTTGCCTCTCCAGCCTGGAGGACGATGACTTCCTGTCCTGCTACAATGGAACCTCTAGCAGCTGCTCCTCCTGCCAGGGCAGTGAGTGCAACAAGCAGGTGTATCCCGCCAACCGTCGCTCTTGCCACGTTTGCAACTCGGATACGGATGCCAGCTGCCACTCCTCGCCCAATAGCCTCTCCGTGTGCTATCTGTACGAAGCGGATGACCAGTGCGTGACCAACTACCGCAACGGTGTCACCTACCGGGGCTGCTCCTCCTCGCTGAGCTGCGAGGCGAATGCCAAGACCTGTGTCCACTGCGATGGAGATGGCTGCAATGAGGTGGATCTCGATGCCAAGGCGGACGACAACAATGGCATGTGGCAGGACCTGCCACTGACCTGTCTTACTTGCGCGGGAGCCGAGGCCTGCCAGGCGGAGGATCTACCATCGGTCAAGTGCCAGAACAACAACGAACAGGACTGTCTGACCGTCTTCAATGCCGACGGTGTGGTCATTGAGCGCGGCTGCCAGGATGACCTCGAGGCGCAGACATCGATCGCCACCTGGTGTGGTTCTAATGCCGCCAGCTGCCCCTCCTGCAAGTCCAACAACTGCAACAATGCCACTTCCCTGAGTCAGTACAAGACCTGCATCTACTGCAACTCCTACAAGGACTCCACCTGTGTGTCCAATCCTACAAGTAGCAGCCACAGGACTCGCCAGTGTCAGGGCCAGTGCATGACTGCTCTGTATGGCAGCGCCTCGACCGGACTGGATCTCATTCGCACCTGTCTGGATGACAAGGAGGAGGCGGATCGACTGACCTGTGCCAGCGGCAGCGACTCCACCTGCTCCACCTGCGACGACAACTCCTGCAATACTGATAACCTTCCAACGGATCGCCTAACCTGCTACACCTGTGACGGAGATGACTGCGAGGATCCGCAGCCGCAGCAGTGTGTGACTTATAAGGAGCAGGATAGCTGCTTCCTGTGGATCGATGAGGACAACAATCTGAAGCAATTGGGCTGCCTAAGCTCTTTCCGCAATCAGGATCTTGAGAGTATTCTAAAGACGAAGCGAATTGCTGTCTGCGAGGGTGCCAATTGCAATGTTCCCACTCTTCAGACGCCGGTGCGTTGTGCTGTTTGCGATTCTCGAGAGGATCCCACATGTGCCACAGATGCCCAGGCAGTGGGTAGCTTCCAGACCTGCAGCCAGATGCCACACACGGGATGCTTCACCAAGCTGGATGATGGTGAGTTTGGAAAATGGGCTTCTCTTCAGAGATTATTCCAAACTAACCACTCGAATCTCTCTTTTATCAGATGGTTCCACCCACCGTGGTTGCTTGTACGATCTGGATCAGACACCGTTTGTCTCCTGCCTCCTGGGTAACGATGCCAACTGCACTGTGTGCTCCACAGATGGTTGCAATCGTGAGGTTAGTTCTACTTAAATCATCGCTAAGAAAACCCACAACGAATGCAATATCTTAACCTTTACCAGGTCTTCCCTGCCGATCGACAAGTTTGCTACTCCTGCACCTCTGCCGATGATTCTACCTGTGAGTCCGATCCCAGCTACACCCTGGCCTGTCCCTGGGTCAGTGAGACGGAGACCTGCAAGACCCTCCTCTCTGGCAATGTCACCACTCGTGGCTGCAGCAGCAGCGTAGAATGCGACTCTAGTGATTTCCGCAATTGCCGTAGTTGCTCTGGCAGCGAATGCAATGCCATTGACCTGGCCAATCGTGTGGATGATGGCTGGCACGGTGGCTACCAGACACTCCCCTGAAGTGTCACTCTTGCGAGGGCGAACACTGCCTGAACTCTTTGGGACCTGCTGTCACTTGTTCTCTCAACAAGGAACAGGATTGTAAGATTGTCTTCGACCAGGATGGCGTCACTGTCCGCCGAAGGGGATGCTCGGACGATGTGGACGACTACGAGGATAGGTATTGCAGGAAGAACCCGGAGCTATGTTTCACTTGCAAGTCTAACGAATGTAACGATGCTTGGGCTGTCTCAGAGTTTGTAAGTTGTACCTTCTGCAACTCGGCAAACAACGAGACTTGCATCACGGATCCCACCGGAGCGGGTCTGGGCAAGCGCAACTGCAAGGGTCAGTGTCTGGTAGCCCTGAATGGAGAAGCCCTCGTCCGATCCTGTCTGGACGACAAGGAGCTGTACGATCGCAGTGACTGCACCACCGACGAGAGTGGCACTAACTGTGCCTCCTGCTCGGGAGCCGGCTGCAACACCTTCTCGTATCCCGCTGATAGGCTGAGTTGCCACAGCTGCGCGGATGCAAGCTGCTCGAGCAGCAAGTCCCAGGCTTGCCTGGCCTACAGGTCGGATGACTATTGCTTTGCCAAGTACGGAACCAATGGAGGCATCGAGCTGATGGGCTGTGCCAGCAGCCAAAATAGCTCCAGCCTAGAGGAGTGGCAGGAGGAGAACAAGCTGTTCTCCTGCCAGGGCAGCGAGTGCAACGAACTTAGCCGCTTGCCCAGTGAGGGCGAGTGTCTGTCGTGTGACTCCAGCAAATCGCTAGAGTGCGCCCAGGATCCCTCGAGTATCACATCCTCCATTACCTGCCATGCTCCCAACTCCGAGTGCATTACCCGCCTGGAGAACGGACACACCATTCGCGGATGCAAGAGTGCCCTGAGCACCACCGACAGTGCCGCCTGCACGGCCAATGGAAGCTGTTCCGTCTGCTCCGGCGCCAAGTGCAATGCCCAGATCTTCCCCGGAAATCGCCGACGGTGTCACATTTGCAACTCCACCGCCAATTCGGATTGTGCCAAGCAACCAAATTACGAGGCCGTGTGTCCCATTTATGCCCAGGATGATGTCTGTGTGACTTCCTACAACGATGGCCTCCTTCGACGAGGATGTGCCAGTGAGCTGGAGTGCGAGATCGATAGCGAGGATCACTGTCAAAAGTGCTCCACTGATGGTTGCAACACCGTCGAGCTTACAGGCTCCGCCGGAGCTCTGTCTGGCCTGGGATTGGGTCTCACCCTGCTGCTCGCCTGGTGCATCAGCTACACTCAGCGGCTGTAGGAGAAGATGTCCCAACTATTCACTATACTTAAGTAGATTTATATAGAGTACGCTTATGTAATTAGATTGCTGTGCTGACGATAGAGGCTTCTCTTCCGAACCTCGAACAATCTACCAAACGATTTGTAAATAAACCAAAACGACAAATTTAAACGGTATTTAAGAGGTTTTAATGAAAACCCTATAAATATTTAAAAACTTGATTCTTTGAAACTTCCTGACGAAATACCCTTTCTAGGAAACTTCCCAAGTCTTAGTTTCTTCCCATTTTTTTTTCTTTCCTTCAAATCTTCTTTCCATATTCCTTGTTTTTTCTGTACTCTTAACGCCTGTCTAGCTTCAAGACTCCTTCAGTTTCTACACCTTCGACTCTGCTGAGAGAAGCCAGACGAAGGATTTTTCACCCCCTTTTTCCACCTCAATTTTTCGCTTGAATAAAGTTGAAAAGTGAAATTACCTCTCTTGGTCCCTTCGAAAAAAAAACGACAATGGACCAGCGCAAAAAGTTGCCAAGAAATTGCAAAACGCAGCCATTGGAAATAAAATGCAAATGCAGAAAGCAAATGCGATGCGATGTTTGTCTTTAGTGGAATTTAAAGCAAATTGAAAACAAAGAACACACTATAGTATATAGAGAGTCTTGTCAGCCATCAAGATTGTGCAGGGAATCCCAAAAAAACTTGTCACTAGACCATTTAATTCCGTTTTAATTGCTGGCTGAACGATAAGCAATTGCGTTTTAAGATTTATGGCCGGCAATTAAGTGGTTTGACAACGATTTAATGGCAAATTACACAAGAATAGCCACAGAGACATGTGTGGGCGGAAAGAAAAGACAGTGGAAAATGTGAAAGGGAGTCCCTGAGTAATGTGTATTAAATAAACTTATTGATGGCTCATTTGTACCCGAGAAAGTGATTGTTATTCTATTGTTATTTTATTGCTTTCCATATCTCTTAAAGGTTTTATTTACAAGTTTATTGTGGGAATTAGTTAAGAGTTTCTGGACCCTTTAATAATATTTCTTACATTTTTATATCCCTGATTTAAGTACCCTTCACGTTTTATTATTTAGACTCTTTCATTACTGACAGACCTGCCTGGGGTTAATTTATATCTTACATATATTCATCGATCAACCTGTTGTGGATTTATTTTTTAGTTTTTCGTTCCCATATCGCCTTGCAGCTGTCACAACAAACTGACTGCCCGTTAACCCAAACGGCAAGTTGACCAATTTATTTCCCCGCGTTTATCACGTCGCCTAACTCGCTTTTTCCATTTTCCCCCCCGAATTTCTCAGTGGTTTGCTGACAGCGACAGCTGCTTTTAAAATCTATTAGTTTTTTGGCTGCTAAAGCAAAGAGCCTGTTTTGTGGAGCGACAGAGCAAATAAAATTTAATAAACTGCTTTCCGGCTTCGAAGACCAAGAGAGTTATGAGCCACGAAATAAATTATTTTCGGTTTTTGTCATTTGATTAAAATGTTTGAGGGGAAAATTAATTGCAAGATCGTGGTGGGAGGGATATATATACCCTTTATTGGAAGCACAGTAAAGCAAATAATTTAGCAATGATTGTAACTTAAGCTATTGGAAAGTTATTATATAAAATTACCTAAATCTAGGGGAAGAGGAGCTTAGTTTCTATACACAATATGTATTTTTTAAATATGGACAATTAGTTTTACCATCAAAGGCACAAAATAAAATAATATCAGTCATTAAGCACTTCAAATACTTATAAACTGCTGACTTTTGGTACACAATATTTCCCCATTCGATGTAATTTCCGCAGCACTTGTTCGCTTCTGCCCCAAATGGCACGAGGAGATTGCAACACATGTGTGGCAGAAGGAGAAAACAGACAGAAGATTTGACAGTGCAACATATATATAGGTATGTATATATACTATATATATAAATATATATATTTGGGATTCCCACTCGTCATCTTCAGGAATTGTACGTGTACGTGTCTCTGGCGTCTTATTAGTTTTTGGCGCTGGACGCGCATCGTGGCCAAAGGAAATTAAAATTATTCAAGCAGTAAATTCAATTTAATTATAGCCAAAGCAAGAAAGAAAAAAGTACAGATCAGAATTATTAATTACAAAAAAATTATAAAGGGGACTAGTACATGAAGATAACTTGAGTATTTTTCCGGGAAAGGAAATCATTAAAAATCTAAGCCAGGGATTTTTACTAAAGAATTCCTTTTCTTAATAAACAGTACAAATTTAACCTTTTTAATTTTGTAAAATAATTTGTATACATTTTTTAACCATTCTTCCCGTATTAAAAACCAACAAACCTAAAAGCCTTTTAAACAGCAACCATCTGCCGTTTCAAAACTAAATCCAGACAATTGAATTCGCTCAGCCACAGAAACACAAATAAAGATAGATATTCGTAGGCAAAAAATATACATTTATTTTATATAGATCCACGCGGCATTATTTAAATTGAATTTTTACAAAATTAAGTTGATTGTATTACAAAAAGAGAGAGGGAAAGGGGGACTTGCAGAGTGAAAATTTATATTCTATGTTGGTCTCTGGGCTTATGCGATATTTATTTATGGCCGCCAACTTGTTTGTTGTCCCTACGCCCTATGTCCTTCCCCTACTCCGAAGCTCACCCATATCCTGCCGTGGTATCCCTAACAGCATTGGGCTTATATTTTATTTATTTTCCTTTTGCGGGAAACAATTGAACAATTGATTTGCGTGCATACGAATTTGTTACAGGGATTTAAGTTGAATGATTTATGGTTACGTGGAATCGTAACAGTTTTTTCTCAACGTTTTTGTTTTGCATTGCAAGTGCATTGAGATTTAAACAAATCAAAATAAATGCTAGATTCTTTTGGAATTATTTAAAATTTTATAAATTATGTTCTCCTTATTTATTTTTTAATTGGCTTATTTACTTTAGTTTTTCGCATATTTTTCGGTATATTAGCTTTTCGGACTTAAAAACAAATCACGCATACGCAGCGTTATCCGGGAAATGCCACCAATTTACATTGAAGTTGGCAAACGTTTAACAATTTCTGGCGCATCGCGTCTAGTTGGCACCATTTGGTCAACTCTCAAAGAGAGCCAAGCGGAAACCGAATAAAAATGGCAACAAAAATGGCTCAGACTAAACGATATCAAGGCTTTAATGTTCTGGAAATTAATTGAACATTAATATTTATTTGAGCATTTTTAATTTCTTATAAAATTAAAGGTAAGGGATCATTGATTTAATTCCGAAAAAGTTTTTTGAATATTTAATTTTTAAGTTTCATGTCTTATTTTTTTAAGAGACAATTTAAGGACTTCTTTTTAACAATATTCTGAAACCAAAAGGAAAAACCAATAGGTGTAAGCATTTTGATAAAATTCAGCATACTCTCTTGTACCCTGTAAGCACTGGTATTTTTTTGTTTTAATATATATATACAAATAAATTAAGCCATCACAAGCAATAAAAACGGACGCAACGCAATGCGGAGCGGAATTTTGTGTGTTTGGCGCCGACCAGGGTTGCCAGGCGCCACAGCGACGGGGCCAACAACCCTGGCGCATCATCGTTTTCCATTAAATTCGTTTCTTTTCCCTCACATTTTTTTGTATTTTTAATACCCTTACAGGGTATTATAAATATAGTCAGAAGCTTACAACACCATGAAGGATTCATTTCCGACCCCATAAATCATATATATTATTGATCAGCATTAAAATCCGAGTCGATCTAGCTGTGTTTGACCAAAATCTACTTTTTTCGAAAATTTCGAAATTTTTTAATCATTAAAATTGACAAAAATTCGAAAAAAAATCGAATATCTTTAAATGTTAAAATGAGAATGTCGATTTATAAGCCTGATATAAACTAACATAGGAATGTATTCGGAAGTGAATTTAATGCTTTTTTGGCTTAGTTATGCATTTTTTTAACTTTGATTTGTCGACAAAATTGGGGTTTAAAAATATATATAAGTATTAACTAAAAGTATGGTACTATAATTTTAATCAGAAGCTTGAAACACAGTGAAGGAGTAATTTTCGACCCTATAAGGCAAATATATTCTTGATCAGCATTAACAGCTGAGTTTATCTAGCACATTTAACAGAAAAAATTTTGTTTTTAATTTTCGAAATTTTAAAACGGGTAACCTCGCTAAATTTGTTCAAAAATCGTCAAAAATTTTATTTCTTTTACATTTTAAATTGAGTATGTAGATTTATCAACCTAATCAAAACTAGCACAGAACTTCATTCCGAATTGAAATTAATACATTTTTGGCTTAATTATGATCGATTTCAAGGGCATGCAAACTTCAGTTTTCCAAAGTCAGTTTTTTCCCTTGGATTTTTTTTTTGGCGAGAGTTAGATAAATGTAAATAGTAAATGGAATGCATGACTTGCGCTAAAGAAAATGTCTACATTTTTTGCCACTCTAGTGACCCGGTCAATGGTGGAAATACATATACATTTATATTTTAGAAATAAGGATCTTTTACAAGGGGCTTCCCAGGAGGTGTGAAAAATTGTGTTAGTTGGACAGGCTACCCCGGGGATTTGGAGTTTACAAATGGCTTAAAGGGTCAGAGAGGTTCTTTAATGCATTTAAATATATAATTTTAGTTATTTGTCACGTAAAATGTTCCAGCTTGAGTGGGTCCTTTCTCCCTCTCTCTAATAGTTATTGCACCTGGGCGGAAAGGACATGTAATGCATTTGGATTGCCGCTTAATTAACCAGCACGTACTCCCAGTGACCCCCACTGGTGTCAGCTGTTGCAAATATTTGGCATGTGGCGCCAACTCGGCATTCCACTTAATTAGCATTTTCCTTAAGTGCAGAGAGGAAAAATTATTAGAAAATGTATAGAGAAAAATTAAGGAAATATTAAGGATATTATTTGGAATTATTATTGTAATATTATTATCATAATGGAAAATTATAGAAATATTATAAAACTATAAGATGAAACCTGTTTAATAATATTTTTATATTATAATTTATTTACTTATTTTATTCCCTTTTCTCCTATAAATAATTCACCCAATTTTCCTTTCTGTGCACTAGCATAATTTAATGAAATGCAAAACACGTGCGTTAGTCTACATTTAGTTGAACCTTTTAGTTCCTAATTTATGTTGCCAAATGATAAAGTAAATGGCCAACGATTACATGGGGTCATATGTTTGGATTTTCACCGAGCGATAATGGCCAAAATGGGGGATTCCCAGTAACTGCAACTATCTACCAACTAACTATATATACTACATACATTTATTTTTTGGTTAAGGCGACGATTTATTGAACCTGGCGACTTATCAGCGACAGCAGAGAGCCAGAACCACCCCCTAACTCAGGCACTTGGTCAAGGCTAGTCACACCCCGAAAAGTAAAGAGATCCTGCAGGAAGTTAAGCGTAAACGATGCTGACACTGACACAGATACAGAACAGAACTAAAAGGGGTGTGGGAAGGATGTAAGGATGTATTTCCGGGGAGGAGTTCGGTTGACTGGTGCCAATTTTGCTGTTGATTACAACACTCGACCTCCGATGCCTTCACCCTCTGGCCGCTTGACAAGGGTCAAGTGAAAGTTTTACGACTTTCACCAAAGCTAAACTGTTTTCCAGCCCACCCCTGGCTCAGTCCACTTTGTTTATTTTTAAGTTTAATTTAAAAGGAGATTGTTCCAAGGCAGATTTAACTAAAGGGAAACAGGATGGAAAAGTGTGAAAGGAAATGGTACTATCTGTGAGTGACATTTGTTTGGGACTGAGACAGAAACCCTTTAAAAAATCAGAATTCACCTATTATAAATAGTTCTAGTTCCTTTTAAAGCCTTAACATTCTAGAAATCAATAATCCTTGCAACATAAACTCCGCGCTGCAACTTTACTGGGCCTCCACCGAACACAGAGATATATCATATCTGACCAAAAATGGTCCACAAAAGCCAAATCCCTGCACTAAATCTTACCCAGAAGGGAGAGGGAACTGGAGACAGACTGCCCTAGCCGGTGTAGGTTTTTGGCATTGCTGCCAAAATCATACATCAATTTGGGGACATTCGTCAGTGCCAGGCCACAAATGTGACATGGACCAGCGACGGAGGCCACGCGGAATATTTCACCACATCGAGAACCAGGAACCAGAGACCAGAGACCAGGACCAGACAGCAGAGGGGGAGAGAAGCGATGGTACATGGCTGCAACATTGTCAAAACAATTAATCATTGATGAAGAAAATGCGCATGGATCCAGCAAATGGCCGCTTGACTGGCTTATTTGTGCCCGAACAGAGATTCCGTCCGGTAGCCTAAATTATGTAGGGAACAAGACCACAAATTAGACAAATTTTCGCCTGATTGTTTTACTTACAACGGAATGAATATAGTATAGATTTAACGCCTCCGGAGATTTGTGTTTAACCCTGGCTCTGACGGAGAAATCCCATTAAATGCAAGACTTAATTATAATTGATAATTGAGCATTCTGTAATAATTGACTCTAGGCTATTAATTTGTATTCAATTTGGTTTTATATAGACCATTCAATATGATATCAAATTAAATAATACGCCCTGTGAGTGATATTTAAAGTTTCTTCTACAAAAAAGTAAATTTTTTATAAAATATTTAAATAATTTCCTAGATTATTAGGTACCCCTTTTAATAAGCTTGTTTGCTCTTCCATTAATCAGCGATTTTTTTTATGGTTTATTGGTAATTTTGGGTCATTTTATTATTCAATTTTTACATCATTTAAATATGTCAACAAACATGGCTTTTATGGCACCAATTTATTTATATTCCCCTCTTCATTTCATGTAATAACGGGTCAGTTTTGACTGCCTTGTTTACGACTCCATTCCCATAGAATTAATGAGTCGTTATGGGAGCATAAAATATGTAATCGATGGAAACGAGGGCAAGTTCCCAAAGTCCAAGAAATCTGAATCACCTGTCGCCAGCATTCGATTTTAATTTTATTAGGATTGGTCAACGACTGGGGGTCACAAGAGCATTATGATAAAAGAAAGGTGCCATATATGGGCCATGCCTGAACTCTGACTTGGGGCCCTCCTTGAGATTTATTGTTGGCCAAGCAAGTTCTTGAAAGTGACTAAGCTTGTAATGCCTTTGGGACCTATATTTTGCCCAAATGAAAGTCAGCAAATGGACTCTTCTAATTGGTTTTGTCTTGGTCATTTGGAAGCACTTTGAGGCATTGTAAATTATGATTAACTAGAGAGAATTAATTAATTAATAAATAAATCAATTTACTTTTAAGAAAACTTGCAGTTTTATAATCTATTGAAAAAGTACCGCCTTGGCAGTTGACAAATACTACTATTTATTAAACCCTTTCAGATAATTATTACAAGGCACTACAACCATATAAAATACAAATATTAGTACCTTAAATGATTGCTTTCTCACTTTTACGACAATTTTCGTAAAGCTCAAATTCTCAATTTCTGACGTTTCGGGGATCGCATTACCCTGTAATTAATCCATTATAAAGCCTTGCGTGCCAAGGAACCATTGCATGCCACTCGAGAATTGCATGCAAATTATTGCAAGTATGTTGAGCATGCCCGAAAAAATCATTACACATTTTTAAGCTGTTTTTTGTTGTACCTTTTGTTGTTGTGGAAACCTCTTTCAACAAGTACAGGTCATAATCGTAGTGGGTTCACCTCGAAAAAAATGTGGCATCGCGTGCCTGGCAACTTGAGACGCTGGCCATTGCCTTTGCGTGAGTCTTGATGCGATTCTGCTGGTGATTTTCCCCCAGACCGAGGTGTGGAAACTCTCTTGATCTGAAGAAAAACCACCAGACATTGGATTTTTTTTTTTTTTTTTTTTGCACCTTCATTTTTTCGTGCCCGGAAAATGCTAGGGCGGGGGAGAAGTAAAGGTAGCATTTGGTAGGAAAATGAAACGTTCTCTGTGTGGCTGGGCAATGAGAAGTGAGTGCGGGTCGCAAATGGAATAACTAATTAAATTTTCAACTGCAAATGAACAGAAGCCGGGATACGAGAGGATAGTAGTTCCCACTGCCCGGCTAACTGCCGGTTTAATTAACTTGGCAGATAAAATTTTATGGCAGCCAGGCTAACGTGCATAGCCAAACATAATCTATTCGGTGTAATAGCCACATTCATGGCTGAGTGGCTCACTGGCTGAATGGCGCTCGTTGTCCTAATGGTTGTCTATGCAAATATGTTGCAATATCCACTTCTATCCATCCCATCAATTTTATTATTGCTCCCAGGTTCTCCGCCAAATAAAAAAAAGATACAAAAATGGAAAAAAGCAAACAGAGTTATCCAGGCAACACCTTTCCACGCGTCGCGCATAAATCAAAAGTGAAATTTTTTTACACGCACCCAACTGTCTGTGAAAATTTTTCCATTTTCCATTTTCATGTGCTTGTTGTCGCTGGTCAAGGGGTCCCGGGGTCATATGTCAGCCGTCCAGCCATTGCCCAACAATTTTGTAATTGTTTTTTGCGGTTTTTTCATCGTAGGGAATTAATCAGAACCTTAAAGATACATCCGAAATTAAGAGATGTTCCGGAAAATATATAATTAAAGCTTAATCAGATGGGGCTTGGTTTAAATGAAGTGCTTTTCGCCTCCCCAAAACATGTACATTTCAAACAAATAAATTGTGAGGCAAAGGCTAATTTAATAACTGATGAATTATTACAATTACAATTAAGTGCTGAAATCTATTTTAAATGCCAGTAATCTTTGTGGAACAAGTAACATATATAATGCAATATAATGTGAGCATATATATGATTTAGTATATATATAATATGAGCATATATATGATTTAGTAGCTCTGGGACAATGTTTGTTCAGTGCGACTGGGATATTCCTACCTAGTTTGCAACTTATATATACACACATATGGCAAGTGAAGTCATCGTATTCGGTGATCCAAGTAAAGTTCGAGTAAAGCGAAGCCTATATCATGGAATCCGGTAAAATCTTTCATTCAAATATTCCTAATATTATATTAAGGAGTCCAATCCTTTTCTTCATTGAGGAGTCCAAGTAACTATATGTTTACATTAAATGTAATAACAAATAAATCCTTTTTTTGCCATGACCAGGGACGAACAATGTCCTGGCCATAATTTTTCAGACATAAGAGGAGAAGTTAGCTTATGTTTTTCCCACATTCTCTTGGATCTTCTTCTGGGGCAGCCTTACATATACCATGTCCTCCAGGACACGGCCATGGACAGCTCTCCACCATAAATCCCCTTTTGAATTTGGCCAAATTGTTGAGACAAACATCTGCAATCGGTTGTGGTTTATCTTACATATATTTACCTAATTTCTTATGACCGGTCTTACCTTAGCCTTAAAACAATACGAATACACGAAAACAATTTTGGATAAACAAAACGCTAACAAATTTAGAACACGAGAAATGCGAGAAAAACATAGAACTATTCCATTTAGGTCTGGTCTACTAAACAGGTGATGGTTAACTGAGAATTTTAGGTTTTGTAGATTGTATAAAACAAGTGACAGTTGTCGAAATTAAATTCAAAGCTTACTGTTATAGCAAGTTTTTGAGATTTATAGTTCCTGAAAATCAACTAACTTTCTTAACAAACCCAAGGCATAATTATTTTCCACTCCCCAATTAAGTGCAATTAATTCAGAAAGATTCACCAAACATGGCGCTTTCAATCTGGTTTCATAATCAATTCCGATTCCCTCAATTTATCACCTGTCAGCCCTCCTTGGCGACTTTACCTTGCGGCAGTAATTGGCCCGAGCCTGGGCTGGCTTGTTTAATGAGCGCTTAGTAGTTGGCAACATCTAATGTGCATATTACAATGCCAATTAACATATTTCCCCCCAACAGCAGAGTCCGAGAGCCAATCTGCCAGAGACAGGAGGACGCAGTCAGTCACTCCGTCGCTCCGTTGGTGGTCACGTTTTTTCACCGGCATGGCGGCATGGAGTGGCTCTTGCATAATTGCGTCGCCAAGTGCAGGGCCCAGGTCCAGGCTCGTAAATAAACCCCACTCCCATCAGTCCATAGATGTACTCACTCACACATGGCCAAGCATGGGTTTTCCGTCTTTTTTTTTTTTTTTTGTTTTGTTTTTCCCTAGTATTTTTCATTCGGTTTTGTCTAGCCGGGCATTATGCAAATGGCACTTTGTTTTAACTGCGTGTGCTCTGCGGTTGGGCCCTGGATCGGATGCGGTCTTTGATGGGCTCACATGCCCAACCAGTGATGTTGGAAATAAAATGTTAAAAGGTATCCAAACAGGGCCAAAACATCAATTAAAACTAAGAGTAAACTAAGAGTTGCAGAAGAAATCGTACAAACACTGCAGTCGTTTAAAAATATTTCTTGAAGAATGTAGGTGCATAAAAGAATTCCAAAAGAAATACGTTTTAATTCAATTTAAAATAGCTTCATCGAACATTCTCGAATGACAAGAATTAGCAGAAACACCTAAAGCTAACGGTGACAACTGATAAGAAAGGCAAGGTACAAGAAGAAGTAATGAATGATCTTCACTCACCCTGTTATCTGTTTCAGCAATCTTTCCTCGTCTCAAACGTAGTTTTACACCGAAAAAAAGTTCAGGCCAGAGAGAATATGCAAAAATATATATTTATATATTAAACCGAGACGAAACCGAGAGGCATTTGTTTAAAACACTGACACTTTTTCACATTTTTATTTCACTGACACACACATTTTTTATCTCTCTCTATATAGTCCAAAAAATAATTTACAGTGTACTCATCACTTGATCAAATTCACACAACTATACACTGAGAGATAATGCTGGGCAGAAAAAACGAGCGAAACACACAACAAAAATATAAAAAATAAAAAAAATATATATATATTTATATATTAAGCCCAGATTAAAACACTGACACTTGGGGAATTTTATATTTCACTTGCATATTTAATTTCTCTCTCTCTTTAGGCCGAACATAAATTTACGGTGTACGCAACTCGGGCGTAGATTTTACGGGTTTTTAGTCCAGATTTTCCTATTCTGATCGTTTTCCCGACCCTCCGGAGGGATGGTTTTTCACGGGGGAACTCTGCATCCGCGAATATAGTCACCGACGACAATTTTTCCGACCGTTTTTACTTTTTCCGCAATTTTCTTCGTACGCTGCACAGTTCCCCTCGAACAATTCGAATGTGAATGAAATAGGCAAAGGGAATTGCAGAAATTATTGGAATATCGGAATGCAGGTGTTATGAATGGAAAGATCTTAGGAGAGCAGAGCGACGCTCTCTTCCAGGTGGTGGCTTTTATGGGAAACTTCCATTGATGCTAGCAAAAGCTCCAGACTTATCTAGACTATAACTCTCTGTAAATCAAGCTTATTAAAAAGTTTTCAAGTACTTTAAAGACCGCCAGAGATCTTTTAAAATTATTTAAAATACATCTTTTCGGGCAGAAAGTTTGTTAATAAATAAAAATCAAAAATAAAATACATTTAATAAACCCATAGAAGTACCCCAAAATAGTCTAAGTGAGCATCACCTTTGCGCAGCTTCCTCATCATCATCAGCTGGAAGACCCTCATTCCGCCGGCCAACTGAAGGTGACTCCAGGTAACTCGGCATCGGCAACTGCATCTGCCTGCAACATTACGCGAACAATTAATATGCCAAGTGTTATGTGTGTGCATACTAATGACCCTATAAGCTCTCCACTCTGTGTCCCTATAGACCCCCTTTTAGTACATATTTTTTTAAACAACCATTCAGGGCGTCCATCAATTGTCGGTCAGGCGGAATGGCGCAGGCGCAACGGCGCCGCCTCCGCAGCCTCGCAAGTTTGCTTTTAATGATCAAGTGGAGGATGTGGCTACTTAATGTGACTCACGACTGGTCGGGACACGTGCGAATGGTTATGTCTGAGTTGGAGGAGGATGTGGAGGAGGAGGAGGATGTGGTTTCTGCCTCGTTAATCTCTGCAGCTCCAAACCTAACAGACATTGTCTTGGGTTTCTTTGAGGGAGGAAGCTTTTTGGCTTTTATTTTTAGTTGAAGCCATATGTACTTATGGATTTTTCCCTATATTATTATTTGTATTTTCTGATTTATTTAAGATTTTTAATTCTCAAGTAAAAACACCCTGTATAAATTGCCCCCAAACACCCAACCACGTAAACCTTGTAAATGTAAACAGTGCCACAAAATTTATTGTGGTTGTCATCAGCCTTGTTTCCATTGCTGTTAAAAAAATACAAAATTAAAATAAAAAGAAATAAGCACAAACAACAAAACCTTAACAACAGAAAGACCCACAAAACAGCCGTCGAAAAGTAGCCCCAAAAAATATAAATCAAAAGAAAGTAAAATTACGATGCGTCGTCGAGTGGCGATCGAAGTGGGATAGAAGCGAATAAAAAAAGCGAAAAAAATAATACAACAAAAAATTCATTTCAATAAGTTTTGAAGCGAGAAAAAAACTTTCGCTACTTCAGTGGCTTCAACGCAAAAAAAAGACCAAGTTTTGTGGTTGAGTGGCTCCGATTTTTGGTTTTGTTTTGTTTGCCAGCGAATCAAGTGAAGTATCATGGTCAATTTTTGAATTTTTTATAGTTTGTGTGTTGGTAGAGTATGTGTTTGTTGTGTGTGCAGAATGTGTGTTGAGTGTAAAGTGTGTGCGGTGTGTAGAGTGTGTGTAAAGTGCGTCGTGCTGGGTGCTAGTGGGCTGTTTGCTGTGCGGATGCCCTAAGGCGCCCACGCATGCGCAGAATACTGAATGCAAATCCAACGGGGAGTGTGATTGTGCACCGGAAAAAAATTTGAAAACAAATACCTTTACGAAATTTAAAGATGTATAAAGAAATGGAATAGATCTGACGACTATATCATATAGCTATGACACATAAAAAATAGAAATTGTATGCCTTCATCGTTAAGATGTATTTCAAAATAATAAATAATGAAATATCCCACAAAATATTTATAATTTGTAAACAATTTAAATGTACTATATGTAGAATATTATATTTACATTTTATCTATCTCAGTTACCTCCATTTAATCTGCCTTTCTCTCGGTGTAAATCGGATTGGCAAAGTGGACGTGCCACTGGCCAGAACCACTTTTTTTGTTTCTTTCTTTTTTTTTTGGGTGAAATGCCGCTTTCAAATGTTGGCCAAGCGGCTGGCCGATCAGTTCGCCGAGAGCCACGCTCATCGGTGGTGTCGCTGTGGAGAAAGCCGGAAAAAGTCTAGTCCAAAATGAGTCGACGAGGAGTCACCACCACCACCACCACCAGCACCCTCATCATATGGTTGTGCCTGCTGGTCATCGGCCTGGCTGTGGCCCAAGATCAGAGCATACCCGCTTCAGCGACCACAGCGAATCCCCTGCTGAAGCAATCCCAGAACACCTTCATCCAATGGGTTCTGTCGCTGTTACCCCAGCGTCCTGGTAGCTCTGACTCGGAAAATGCTACTGTGGCCACATTGAGCAGTAGCTCTCCATTGCCAGAGCCCTCAGCAGCGAGCAGCAGCACCACCTCAACCACCACGCCGGCTCCATCGTCAAGTACCACGACCACCAGAAGGGCCACCACCCCGGCTCCACCTACACTGGATCCACCGAGAAAGTGTCGCGATTGCCTTTGCGGCATAGCCAATATCCAGAAGCGTATAGTTGGTGGCCAGGAGACAGAGGTTCATCAATATCCCTGGGTGGCCATGCTCCTTTATGGAGGCAGGTTCTACTGTGCCGCCTCCCTGCTCAACGACCAGTTCCTCCTCACCGCCTCCCATTGTGTTTATGGATTCCGGAGGGAAAGGATCTCGGTGAGACTCCTAGAACATGACCGCAAGATGTCGCATATGCAGAAGATCGACCGCAAGGTGGCCGAGGTTATTACGCATCCAAAGTACAATGCCCGGAATTATGACAACGATATAGCGATCATAAAGCTGGACGAGCCGGTGGAGTTCAATGAGGTTCTGCATCCCGTTTGTATGCCCACGCCTGGCAGGAGTTTCAAGGGAGAGAATGGCATAGTCACAGGCTGGGGAGCCTTGAAAGTTGGAGGACCGACATCGGATACACTGCAGGTGAGAGGATATGTGGAGTATATTTTATAGTTACCTAAGATTTTTTTGGCTCTGAAAAGCACTTAGAAACCTATAAATTTTGTAATCAAACTAATGCCTTATTTTCTCCCTTTCCAGGAGGTGCAAGTCCCCATCCTGTCCCAGGACGAATGCCGCAAGAGTCGCTATGGCAACAAGATCACGGACAACATGCTCTGCGGTGGCTATGACGAGGGCGGCAAGGACTCCTGCCAGGGTGATAGCGGTGGCCCACTGCACATCGTGGCCAGTGGCACGCGAGAGCATCAAATCGCCGGCGTGGTCTCCTGGGGCGAGGGCTGTGCCAAGGCCGGTTATCCCGGCGTCTATGCTCGAGTGAATCGTTATGGAACCTGGATCAGGAACCTCACCAAACAGGCTTGCCTCTGCCAGCAGGAGACCAAGAAGATCAAGTAGTAGAGAGAAAAAAAGAACAATCTAGATGTTTCTGTAACCATAAGTAGTTGCAAAAAAGATACTCTTGCTAAAGGTGGAATCTCAGAAGAAAACTAAATTTTTAACCATTTCAAATTTCTGATTTGAAAGATAAGTTTTCCTAGCACAAAGCTTATTATTTCTTCCTTAAAAACAATTTAAACCATATCCCCAGAAACAAACTATTTTCCCTGAAAATAACTTTGCACTTTCTAGGGATATGTTTCCTTAAAATCACTAAAAACAATAACAGAGCCACCCTTTGCAAGGGTATCACCGTCCTATTCTCAAGCTGTTTTATATTTATTTATTGATTAAAAGAAAAGTTGCCACAAAGTGCGCTAACCTCTCCCAGGAGCCGGTTTCTAGATTCCAAATTCTGGTCTGTCCAGTTCTAGGTTGATGCTAGTTCTTGGTCTTGGCCAGGATGCCTATGGTTAGTTGCCAATTGCCAGTTGGCCAGGCCAGTTCATCATCATCATGGGTAATTTTTCTGTACTTATTTTCCTTTTGGCTGCTTTGACATTGTCCTGGGCCACGCCCTCCTTGCGTGGTGCCTCGGAACCCGAGAGGATTCTGGACTCCTTGGCCCAACTTCGGCAGAGCAGCTTCCTGGACTGGATCCAGTCTATCCTGGGACCAGAGGTGCCAGCGGAATGGAGCTCACCGGCCAAGAGGGAGTGCGCTGAGTGCTCCTGCGGCAGCGTCAATACTCGTCATCGCATCGTCGGCGGCCAGGAGACGGAGGTGCACGAGTATCCCTGGATGATCATGCTTATGTGGTTTGGGAACTTCTACTGTGGCGCCTCCTTGGTGAACGATCAGTATGCCCTAACCGCCGCCCACTGTGTGAATGGTTTCTATCATCGCCTCATCACCGTCCGCCTGCTGGAGCACAATCGTCAGGATAGCAATGTGAAGATCGTGGATAGACGTGTGGCCCGGGTCCTGATTCATCCCAATTACAGTACTCGGAACTTTGACAGTGACATCGCCCTGATCCGCTTCAATGAACCCGTTCGTCTGGGCATCGATATGCATCCTGTGTGCCTGCCCCTGCCCAGTGAGAGTTATGCCGGTCAAACAGCAGTTGTCACCGGTTGGGGTGCCCTAAGCGAGGGTGGTCCTGTCTCCGATACCCTTCAGGAGGTGGAGGTGCCCATTCTCAGCCAGCAGGAGTGCCGGGAGAGCAACTATGGAGAGTCCAAGATTACCGACAACATGATCTGTGCCGGCTATGTGGAGCAGGGTGGCAAGGACTCTTGCCAGGGCGACAGTGGTGGACCCATGCATGTCCTGGGCTCCGGCGAGGCCTATCAACTGGCAGGCATTGTGTCCTGGGGTGAAGGCTGTGCCAAGCCCAATGCTCCAGGTGTCTATACTAGGGTGAGCAACTTTAACCAGTGGATCGAGGAGAACACCAGGGATGCCTGCTTCTGTGCCCAGCCGGCAGAAGCTTCTCAGAGTAGCTCCACAGAGACGGCAGAGCAGGAGGAGAACACCACTCCAGGAGGAGCAGGAGCAGAAGAGGAATCAGAGGTGGTGGAGGCCAATAAGGTGGTTTAACTGGGAGTTTGGTCTTTAAGCCATAATTTCTTAATAAAGGTTTTTTTGCCACTGAATTTCATTTCGTTGTGTTTTTTATCAATATTTTTTTTATCGATTTTAACCTTATAGGTTACATTTTTCAACACTTAATTAGTATAACGTCTAATAAAAAGCGACAACTCTTAAGGAAACTCTTATTATTCAAAATGTGATAACTCTATAACAAATTATGGCAATCCTAAAGGGCAACCCCAAGGGATTAATTACCAATTTCTGTTAACTCTGCAGGCAACTCTAGACGAGAAATTCTCGCTTAATGACACAGCACATTTGAGTTTTGACCAAGGAACATCTAGTGACGGATTTGTAAAAGAAAAATTAATATAATCACAAAAATGCATCCCTTGAATCAAGTTTTTCTGAACATGGAGGAGTACATGAAGTTCGCCCAAAAGGTAAACATATGTTTTGAGCTGGAACATCCTCTGGGCTACTTTAGTTTGACGCCGGAACGCTTCTATCGCGGCAATGCCAGCCAGTTGAGAATGCTCCAGTATCCCAAGCCGGAGGCCTTTCCACTGGACATTAGTCAGCCCCTGGAGAGTCCCTACAGGAGGAGCTTCAATCACTTCTACGACGAGTACTTGGATAATGTGCTCTGGGGTATCTCCGATTATCGCAGGCAGCTCTTGTTTCCCATGGGTTACGAGGGCAGGAACGGCTGGCGAGTGAATGCACAAATTGTTTGCCAGATACAGTTGCTCCAAACACTGATGTGTACACCATTCAGGTTAAATGAGAGTTGGCTCATCTTGGCCATCAACTACAGGGACACTTTGTATCTCTGTTTGGAGAATCAAGGTGAGAAGCCCTGGACGCAAGAGCAAAGGAAGAAGTCCGCCATGGAGACAATGCTCAAGCATCGGGTTTACAAAGGTTGGTAATGAGTCCTAAACTATATATATTACGTAATTATATTTATTTTTATATCTTTTCCTTCTAAGCCTACAATAAAAACCACGACAATGCCCCTCCCGAAGAGTGCTCCGAGTTTAATTATATATTACGTTGTCAACTGAACGATTTATCGGTTTTATATTCCGCACCCCTTAGTGGAGCCACCGATCCAGGCTCCAATTAGTAAGTTTAATATATATTATATTATAATAATATTTATATTATATATATATATATATATTTCAATATTCATTCCTTAGTATATCGGATTCCGATATCATGAATCTACACTTTGTGGAATGCAAATTGGGAAAGAATCACCGCCGCATGGATGGCCGACTTTCCACCGAATTGTACAGTTCCGTGGAGGCGTTAAAGTGGTGGTCAGAGGGTCACCTAAAGGGTGTCAAGAACTTTATGTTGGCCTTGGCCGATCCCTATGGTCATGTTCAAAAATTGGATCCCATATCCTGTGATAAGTTGCGCAGGGATAATGTGAGTACACATACCTAGTAACATTACCATAAACTAGAAGAATATTCTTTAATTTTGAGTATTATACAAATTTTAATATTTTATCTAAATTGTAGCAAAACAATTGGTCATCGGACTTCTGCCAGCAGTTTCTTTGGCAATTCCTGAGTCAAATTCGAGAGATGATGAAGAACGTGGACGACTGTGCCACCATCTACGAGTTCAATTATGTGGCCCATAAGAGGTGCATATATTGGAACAAGGGCTCTGGCCAGCATCTCAGCTTTATACCCGAATGGTATCGTCGGATATTGGAGGGTAATGAATGATCTGATCGGTACTTACTTGCCGATTTCTCTGAGCTTCAGTTTGCCTTGTTAGCTCCTCCGTAACACTTCACTCTCTCGCCTCAATTTCCGCCTGTAATCTGCTTGTTTTCAAGTCAACCCCCGGGGCACTCGGCAATTTCTGCTCCACGAAATTGCCACTAAATCAAAAAATACAAAAAAACAAAACAAAAAGCTACAACCGCAGCAGACACCTACACTTGGATCTGGTTTGGGGCACTTTTTTCGCTGTGCGTGCCTCTCCCATTGGGATTGGACCCGGACCAAGGAGATGCCCAAGATCCACACCCAGACCGGGGCTTAAAACATTGATAAATAACTAAATAATAGAATAAACAGATGGCAAAAGGTGTTAAAGCTTAAAGTTTAAATTCGGAGAGACTAAGGAAATGCTCTTGTATACATTAATTTAAATATTTACATTTATATCTCTTATTTATATGAATAAATTTATTAAGACATTCTATATTTTATGTTGAATAATTACGAGAAATAAAAATAAAAAGGAGTGCAGAGCATTGCTTTTATTTTATGTATTTATTTAACATATTTTAGGAAACTTAGTTCCTCGTTTTTCTGTATAAGAATAAGTACACCTATTGGACTCTAAAATTCCTAAATAAAATTTAATGTAGGGGTACTAATAACTATATATGAAATAATTAAATCCTAAATACATGCCTTAAATTTTTACTAAACCCCGAAAGTGTATTAAAAAGGCAGCATGATGTCCATCCTGAAGCGAAGTTTAAATTCGCGCAGCCTCAAATTGGCTTTTGTGGTAAAATACATGTATATATATTTTTTTTGCTTCTCCTTTCTGGCCAGGCGCAAATTTGGTGCAATTGAGCAAAGTTTCGGTTTTATTTCATTTTTTTGGACCAGCCGCAGGTTAGAAATGTTTATTGGGGCGTTAAATTGTTTGATTGAATATTAGTAAAGAGCGATGCCGCCACATTTGAGGTTCGTGTGAGCCGCGTTTCCTTTCCTTTGCGGGTCAGACAATAATGGCATCATAAACGAACCACATATATAATACTGATATTTTCGATTTCGACAACATAATGATCCTTTTAAGCAATGCCAGTCGCTGACAAAGCCTTTAACACAACATTGGTCAGTGCCAGCAAACCGAGGAGTATGGACACTAGGATTTTCTCAGTCACAATTAGCGCCACATTGGCTATATTTGCAGCGGGCTATTATAAATCTTATATTAAAATTCCATATAAATATGGGAAATATAATGATACTTTTACCTGCAGAAACGTAACGATCATAGAGATAGTATGCTGGGCCATAACCACACTGAGACCAATGCAAAGGATCATACCCATGATGGTGATCAGGGTCAAGGCCTCCACAAGTCTCACCGCCACAGGCATTTTTCCGATCCTTTTTATTGGCGTTCACGTTTGCAGAATTGATTGGAATTTTGAATGAATTTGGTCAATTTGGTTTAAAAATTAAAAGATAAATAGAAATAATGACGCCTAAATCTGGGCAACTATTTGTTAAAAGGTTTATAGGGTGTAATATCAATATAATTTCTATAGAATTTGTTTGCTTTTCCACTACTCCTGCCAAAATTAAAACCAATCTCTCTGTTTTGATCCCATTTAGATATATCGCTTATAAGCCACCATACAAATTATAGTTTTTCAATCATTTTCTCTTCTTTTTTTTCCTCTATATGCGACATTTTCCAATTACGCGATGCAAATGCAATTTGTCTGGACTGCGTGCAATTTAGGCTCTTGCCATAAAGCCCTGCCACGCCCTATCTTTTTTATGGGCGTAGGGTTCTGTGTGTGCGTGTGTGTGTGTGTTGTCTGGCGGCATAGATTGCTTTGAATTATGGCACTAAATGGCTAGACATGTTACATAATTCATTTAGTGTCTGCACGGGGACAAATTCCAATGATATGGACCAGATGTGTGCCGCCTCGGAACAATGGAGCTCTGGATTTATTTATTATTTTCCTAGACTTGGGCAAATTCAATTAGTAGCAAGGAAAAAAACTGTATTGATTTTTATGTGTTCATTTTAAACTCAATTTTAAATTGCTGCTTTTTTGTGTGAAAAGCTGGTAGCTTTCATATTAAATCCCAAAATAAATATTTGCACACGTTGTCTGGGTGGAAAGACAGCAAAATAAGCGAAAAGTTCGACTTGCAAATCCTTGGCAAGGACCAAGCCTCAGGGGGAGGCTAAGACGAAATTAAAATAAAAAAAAATGATACAGTAGGAAGTGTAGTAGCTTCTTTACAAGGGTCGACTTAGGATTTATGACTTGCAATATTTACTTCTTGTACTTTATTTGTTATAAAAAATGATGTGAGAGGTCGGAAACCTAGGGGAAATATTGAGTAAGTCTTTGAAAAACTTTATTAAAAGTTAAAAATATTATCTGTAGACAATTTTTCATCAAATCAAAGTTTAAAAATTTTATAAGTCAGCCAAAATGTCATGCATTTCGAATCGGTAAGCTTTTCTATTCTAGTTTTTGTTAGATTAATAAATTTGTATACTCAATTCAATAATATTGAAATTTTGAATTTTTAGCAAATATTTTAAAATTTCAACGATGTAACTCCTTATAAACTTTTGAAAATTTTGAAAAAATTTTATTTCGGCCGCACATAGCTAGATCGTCTTGGCTCTTATTGCTGATGAAGAATATATTTGATTTAAAGGGTCGGAAATGTCTCCTTCACTGCGTTACAAGCTTCTAATTAAAAATACCCTTCAAGTAAACCGAGTACTTATTTTAATTATATATATTTTTATGCAGACACTTTTCAATCTTTTCTTTTTAAAGTAAATTATATCCATAAAAATAACATTTATTTTCCATACTCCATAAATTGTTTAAAGCCAGAAAAGCGGAAATTGGAGGAAATTGAAGACCGGAAAGGCCACCTGTTAGGGGAATACAATATATCAAAAAACACGTTCGCTGTGATATCAAGTGCTGGCCATTCAATTGGCCATAAACTGTCGCCAGCTTGCCAGGAAGTGCCAACGTATTTGAATGCTTCAATAAATCATTTTTACAATTCACAAGGAATATTTTCATATTTCTAGGGAACTTTAAAGGCTTTTCTTACTAAAGAGATAAAGAAAAACGAAGCTAATTTGTAATTTTAAAGCCTGTAGAGTCTATGTATATATTTTTTTAGGTTACCCAGACAATGAAATAATTTCTTATTCAGCCAACGAAATGTGTTCGCAAAGCTCATTATGATTCGCCACGAGAAGCGAGGAGCAATTTTCCCAATGTCCTGCGACTAGAGTCTGGCCCCATTGTGAGTCCTTGTCTCTCTGTTGTTTTTATTCCTTTGATTTCATTATTATTTTTATTGCTTTGGACTGTGTGTGTGTTTTTTTTTTCGTGTGTCCAACTGACTGAGTTCAAGCCAAGGGCGCAAAGGCGCATTTTAATTTTATTATTTCAGTTTCCAAAAGAAGAATCCATTGGAATTCGCATAAAAAAGGGTATACCAGCCAGGGCATTCACTGATTGTGAGTTTTGTTTTTCTTTTTTCTTAATTTTTTCTGCGTTTTTTTTTTTTTTTGGCACATTTTCAAGGCCTCCATAGACACACGCCCCACTTGCCACATTTTTTATACAATTTCAGTTTTTATTTCTCCCTTTGCTTTGCATTCTTCGCCTTCTTATTAAGAATTAATAATCTTTTTTTGTTCTTTTTCTGCCATAAGCTAGCTACAAATTTGGCATTTTATATTTTTTACGATTTCTTTTTGCCAGAAAAGGGGGGCAGGGGTCTTGCCACCCATGAATCATGGTTATGCCGGCTATAATTTAGTTTTAATAGCATTTTCGGGTGACATTTATGCTGTCAGCGCGTCATCCAATTTTATTAATGTCCGAAATGAGCCTCTGTTGCCTACACTTATGTGTGATACGACTGTATGATATCATTATGAAAAGATTTAATGGTCTTTGCTGCTTGTCTTTTGCTCTAAATTAAGTTATGAGTGTAATTCTGTGGGGTAATTGGCAGCAGAACCTCCAAGATACTTCGGTACTCACAGTTTTGTTTTAAGAAAATAAAAGGAAGATGAACTACAAGATCTTATTAGGTTCAGTTTGCCTAAGAACTAAGAACTTTATAAATAAATATTTTAAAAATATAGAGAGCCAATAGAAAAATATATTTGATATGCATAAATACAAAAAATATCGTAATTAATATTTAAAACCACCCAACATCTCGGTTTTACCCATCTTAACACAGTACCATAATTTATAGCCACACCTTATTAAATGTACCCCCATTTAATTTATTGTCTCACTAACCCAAGAGCCCAACTAACTCTTAACTATATACCAAACCCTGTTGTTTAGCCATTATATTACCAGCTAAGCTCCCTCTATATACTCTCCTTATTATTTCCATTCATTTTTTCCGCTCATTTGCAATTTTCCCAAGTCGAAACTCCGTTTTAATGAGTAGCCACAAGGCAAGCTGCAACGCGAACCTAATCATCTCTGGGCTCACTTAAGTAATAAAGCAATTTACCGCCTTTCAATATCCCTTAACCATTTTTTATCTTTTCTTCCGTTCTGGGAGACCAGCCTCCGCCTGCCTGGCCAGGATACCTCGAGGGCTGGGTTGCTCCCACACAAATTATTTTCCCGCTGGTTTCCACTTCTTTTCTGTTTTTTTGTTCCATCTCCTCCTGGGCTCTGCCATTTTATTGTTGGCCAAAAGGAGGGGGCGACTTGTCGCCTCACGTTGCCGTTTTTATATCCCCAGAAGGAGTAACTGGCAGAGGATCAGGAGTCGCAAGGAGCTGCGTTTGATTTTAGTGCCGGGATTGGCAAAGGCTGTAAGGACTTTTGTCCTGTTCCTGGTACTGGATCTGTGGCTCTGGTTCTGGTGTGTGTAATGATTTTATTACACGATTTTCTATCGAATTTTATTACCTTGGTGCATGATGGTGTGGCTGTTGCAGGATTCCAGTGTCCATGCGGCATGTGCCATGTCCTTTATGCCCTTTTTAGCCCCGGCGGCGGCCATCGAAATGGAATTTACGCACTCATAAAATTTTCGCTCTTTTTGCCCCCTTTTGAATTGTGTGGGAATATCTCGGGAGATGCTGCTGCCCCCGCTCTCTCTCTCTGTCCCATCATAATTCAATATCATAAAACGTTTATCCAATTAATTTCCCCTGGTCAATATTTATGATCGGTTCGTGCAGCAAGCCGCTCTACTATGAAGCTGGATATTTACATGTTGAACCGCATAAACATATTTAGTGTGCCACAGTGGAGTGGGTTATGGAACTATATTCCTACATCAGTGGGTGTGAATATTGATAGAAATAGATTTTTATTGGTTATAGGTTTTAATGGGTTATATCGTAGTGGGAAAATAGTGGCCTAACGTGACTGGCACAGTAATTTGTAATTAAAAGTAGTCTGGGTTGAACAATGAACTTGATAAATCATTCAATAAAACAGATTCCCGTGAAATATTTTATGGGGTGTATTATTCAATATAAATATTTAATTAATTTGGGAATTAAAAAGCTTCTAGCATATCTGGCTTTCATAACTGTTGTACTTTAAAATATTTTCTTAAGATATGAAATATTATAGTAAACCTTATTCTTCTTAAATTTATATAACTACAATCTTATTAACCATTTTAAAGTTAAAATTTCCACCTAAGTCTAACCAATTATCTTTGAAAATTAATTAAATTTAATGGCTTTATGTTTATTCATTATATATTCGAACCTTTAATTGATCAATCTGCCCCAATGTTCCTCGGATAACAACGGGCTGTCATTCATCCATCAGAATGAGAGACCTGAATAGACAATTACCGGGGTTTTGATCTACATTGATCTTGAAAATCTATCCAGCAAATGTATAGCAAGGGAGGCACGCTTCAATGGCTACCGATTTCGATTTCGTTTTCGATTTCCCTGTCTCTATATATACATACTATATCCATCTCTCTGTGTAGCTGACCTAATCGAGTTTGATTTCCAATTACGATTATGCGGCCTGCCACTTTTGCTAATGAGCTGCCCACACGAGCTGTTATTTTTACTATTTTACTTTGTTTTTACTTATATTTTGCCTAAATTTATTGTTGCTTTTTTCCATTGAGTTTTCCCTGGCATTGGTTTCAGTGTCAAGTTCATGTTTTTCCATGTGGCATGCAACGTTTCCAGTGGCTGCATGCCAACAATCTAATGGGCTTCCCCCAGCAATGACGATGACTATGTTATTTTGCTGTTAAATTCCAAAACATCAGATTCACATGTGGGTCGTGTTCAGTCAGAGACGAAATTATGGCTTCGTTTTCCATATTTTCATACCCATTTTTGGGATTTTGCAATGCATTATGAGGGGATGGGGAATCAGTTCAGGGTTCAAACGCAGCTCTCACATTAAATGTTTGTAATGGGTGTGAGAAATATTTTATAATGGTTTATTGTTGGTTGTGATGATAAACTAGATGGGTTACTGCTTCCTTTTT